GGAGATGGAGTGATCAAATCAACTCGTGTTTAGTTTCTGCTTGTTTTGTTTCACCTGGTGGCTGACGTCAGGAGACCGGTGTGTAGGTGTTGTTGCATCGCAGGAGAAATGGCGGAGGCTTGAGCAGTCGTCATCCAGCAGTGGATTGACTGTGGCTGCTGATGATGATTTTTTTTGGAGAAAGTAGTACTCGTATCCAACAAATCATGTTGCCTCCTTTACACGCTATATGTTGCACCGTAGTAAAATTTACATGTAAGGTTTTTCTCTGTCCAGAATAAGGAAATGTACTGCGCAGGCCTTAGCCAAAGGAGGCTGGTCACCAGACGCATTTGCTTTTGGTCTTATTGCCAGAAGTCAGATTGGGAATGGTGGCTTCAGTGGTTAGTGCGCTGCGCTATGAACCTGGTGCCCTGAGTTCAGTTCCTGAAGACTGGTTACCAAACTCATTCGGTTTTGGTCTTATTGCCAGTAGTCAGATTGGGAATGGTGGCTTAAGTGGTTAGTGCGCTGCGCTATGAACCTGGTGCCCCGAGTTCAATTCCTGGATACTGGTCACCAGACTCATCCGCTTTTGGTCTTATTGCCAGTAGTCAGATTGGGAATGGTGGCTGCTTCAGTGGTCAGTGCGCTGCGCTATGAACCTGGTGCCCCGAGTTCAATTCCTGGTGATGGCTGCCATCCGCACCTCCGATTAGCACGGTTGGCTACGTATGGTGCGAAAGAAGTTCAACATACGTATATTAGTGGTGAGTGATTTCTGAACCAATCCTAGCTTCTGTCAACCCTCACCCGCCTGCACTCGCCAGCATGGTGAAGTATGGTCAAACAACCCCATTACCGATATGGTATGGGGAGGCCTTCTTGCAGCAGTGGATTGATAAAAAAGGGCTGTAATTTAAATAATTATTACAACCAATTGTCAGGGGTAATTGCGTTATTCACACCTTTACAGTCCTGCAGTTGTACATGTATTGAACATATTTGTACGTGCAGTATAATTGCCAATTATTGACATTTTAAAATTACAGTGTGAGTAAACCTTTTAAAGAAAAGGTTGTGTGTTTTTTGTTGGTGTACGCATTAAGTTATTGCAGCGACACTAAAGAAGCAAAGGTTACCTTATCCCCGGATCACAGTTGGTTTAACCCAGGGGTCGGCAACCAGAGTAACAAAAAGAGCCATTTCTTTCCAATTCGGTACAAAATTCAGTATTTCAAGAGCCGCAATGCATCTGAGTACATACTGTACATATCGTCAAGAAGCAGCCTGTAAAGAGCCGCATGCGGCTCCGGAGCCGTAGGTTGCCGACCCCTGGTTTAACCGAACAATGTAAGTTTTCCTGCCATAGGTCTGGACACCGTAGAATAAAAAATATCCCTATTGTACTATGACACAATCATAATAATACTTATACTGGATAGAATCCGATTAGCTAGAAAGATCCTCTTCACAGATGTCGAGTAGGGCCGGGTAAGAAAGTTTCAACAACAAACATCACAAAATCATGATCGTAGTGCATAGTTAATGAAAGGTAAAAAATCACCCAAACACATAAAAATGCAACGAAACCATCCCCATCCTACCAGGCAAAGCCCACTGAGGTATTCACTTATTTTTCAGAAGTGATCTGGCCACAAATGACGCGTTTGTTCTCTGTGGCTTGACACACGTGCGCATCCCGATGGGAGATTCAAAACCCATCCGCCTGCCATTGACGTGCATGCAAATAGTAAGATGGCTTTTAATTTAGATGTCTATTACACGGATGGTGTTTTTAGTAAATGCTTAAATCTACAGGAACTAGCCTTTTACCCATCCAAGGACGGGTGTTTTGCTGTAAATATGAAACTTGCAAGCGAAAAGCAGACCGCGAAGTGATATTCATTGCATCCATTCGCGTGCAATTTGTAAGGCCACGGTGACATAGACTTATTTCATTTAAAGGTTATAATCCCTTGTTCATCATGACGTCCTTTTTACTTCTATGTCTCAACAGCGTTACGGAGATCGCGTGACGTGAGGGTTCTGCCTTTGTCGTGAGGGTTGTAAGTCGACGCTGAGAATGGGGGAGGAGGCGCCTCGCCCCCCCATGTGGAGTGACGTTAGCCACTAATTATTAATGGAGGGGGGGGGGGTGTCCATTTGGAGGATGTCACCTGCTCATGATTATTAATGAGGGGGGCTGTTCTATGTGGAGTGACGTTACCTGCTCATGATTATTAATGAGGGGGGCTGGTCGATGCCAGAGGTCGCAAACGGGTTTTGATTCCTTACCCGTACCCGGCCACACCAGGGTCGCAAACGGATACCCGTACCCGGCCGTACCCGGCCGTACCCTACCCTACCCGTACCCGGCCGGATACGGGTAGGGTACGGGTATCGGGTACCTGATTGCGACCTCTGGGATGAAGCCATGTTGCAGGCGCGGGTGGGTTGTGTCTAGGAACTTGAATTGTGAGAAGAGACAAGACGTTTGGAAATGAGTGACAAACGGTTACTCACCAGTGACTCACGGTCTACCCATACCCGGCCGCACCAGGGTCGCAAACGGGTACCCGTACCCGGCTGGGTACGGGTAGCCGGGTATCGGGTAGGGTACGGGTATCGGGTACCCGATTGCGACCTCCGGTCGACGTGGAGTGACGTCACGCGCGGGACACACAGACATTCTTGGCTCATTATAGTAGTAAATATTTGCATCGGCTCGTGTGATTTGTTGTCTCCTGCGATACCATGGTGATCATTTTTGTATTTTTTCTAATTGTACTTTGTTTTCAGGACACAGTGTGCTACAGTCGAATGTGGTTGTACTCAAATGCTAATAGTTTATTTTATTGCCAAACAATAAAACTGAACTGTAAACGTTTGGGAACCAGTGATCCTTGCCCGATGGTCTGTATTGCATGCATATGATACCATATTTCCTCATGGTATTTGATGATTCAAGCTTTAGTTCATGTAGTACACCTGTCAGAAGCTTGGTGAACTAACACAATTGTGCTTCGGTTCGATGATCTCAGATCGAAATGGACACCGTTCACCGTGACCTAATGAGTCACGAAATGGACTGTGTGTTCTTTTAAATTATTAGCAAGGGATTGAGCACACGCAGTGAGTTATGGAGGCCGTGGTTAAGAATGCATCATGCAGAACTGTATGCATAGTGAAACCATACTTTACTTTAGATCTCTCAGCCACCACCACCACCCATACTCGGCAAATAACCCCCCCTTAACTGATGCATTGCCCAAAAGGAGTACCTATCACAACTGGGACCACACCTATCATTGTGTGCCATTCCAGGCTGTACCCAGCATTGCACAACTCTGTTTAAAATTTGCTTGCTTAAATACTGATGGATAATATTGTTCTGGAAAGCCAATAGGTCAATGTACGATGTAAAACATAATTTGATTTATATGTGGTGACAGAACAAGAGTTCTGCTTAAATTTGCCTTTAAAATCCAGTTGGTCCCTCAACTAACTGCAAATTCATATTCTTTGGGTCTTTCGGTAAAGCCACGTAGATAGAAAAATAATAAAATTAATAAGAATAATAACAATATCGTCATCAGGTGAAAAATATAGCGGCAGGAAAATAATATATTCTTTCCTGCCTCAGCAGCTCTCCCTGATGACGATTGCTTGTGTTGCGATCGAAACGTCGTGATATTGTTATTATTTTTATTAATGTTATTATTTTTCTATCTACGTGGCTTAACCGAGAGACCGATAGAATATGAATTCCTGCAGTCACGAAAGCTCGAGACAAATAATGCTCATGTGAAATTGTACTGATATGTCGTGAACATCAGAAGTTTATTATCCGAGTAAATTACCAATTGAGCTATGCGGTTCTTTTTCAAGGGTGACTCAGCCAGCAGACAGACACGGCAGCAAGGGTTAACGAACACGATATAAAATATAAAAAATATAAAGTAATCTTCTTGGTTCTTTCGGTAAAGTCACGTAAAAGGGAAATAATAAAATAGTAAAAATAAAACATAATAAAATATTATTATATTATTTTATTATATTTTTATATTATGTTATTATATTATTTTCTTATGTTTTATTTTTATTATTATTATACATTCTACGTGACTTTCCCGAAAGAACCAAGAAGATGAATCCCTGCAGTCACGAAAGCTTTAAATCGAAATATAAAGTAAATCAAACCAAATGATCTCGCAAAACAATTACATACATTCGCATTTGTATTGTTTGTACGTCAATAATGTCTGTTTAAAAGAGCACAGTGATGGCAGTGTGATGATCCCCAGAGAAGCAGCTCCGAGACTTTCTTTTGAACCAAGAAGTTGCGTCAGGTGCAGGATATAACAATTGACAGTGAAATACTTACTTAAAAATTGTACTGATATGTCGTGAACATCAGAAGTTTATTATCCGAGTAAATTACCAATTGAACTATGCGGTTCTTTTGTCAAGGGTGACTCAGCCAGCAGACAGACACGGCAACAAGGGTTAACGAACACGATATAAAATATTAAAAATATATAGTAAATCAAACCAAATCATCTCACAAAACAATTACATACATTCGCATTTGTATTGTTTGTACGTCAATAATGTCTGTTTAAAAGAGTAGAGTGATGGCAGAGTGATGATCCCCAGAGAAGCAGCTCCGAGACTTGCTTTTGAACCAAGAAATTGCATCAGGTGCCGGATATAACAATTGACAGTGAAATATCTTCTTGGTTCTTTCGGTAAAGTCACGTACTTCCCTTCTACGTGACTTTACCGAAAGAACCAAGAAGATGAATCCCTGCAGTCACGAAAGCTTTAAATCGAGACAGTGAAATACTTACTTAAATACACCATTTCGAGGATAAGGGTGTCGTGAACGTGAAAATAAAGAGCGAGCAAGTTTGCATTGCACATAGAGAAGATATTGCGGCTGAAGAGACGCAGGAGAGCCCGGCTAAACTCTCACGTGGTTTTGTTTTGCTCTGTGTGTGTATGTGTGTGTATTGCAGCCGCATGAATTTGACGAATGTCGATTTGACGTCCGAGTCAACGACAACGTCTGGTACATGAGGGCGGAAGATGCCGAGGAGAGGAGAGTTTGGATGGATATCCTGGAACAGAGCAAGGTACGCTGGTTTCGGGAAACCTTCACAAGAAGAGTTGCAGTGGGGGTTTACTGCTTCATGCGGGCCGTTTGTTGCGAAGACAGGCTGAATTGTGGTGTCTCAAAGCATGTTGTTGCACCTATTACAGTGTGGTAATTGACGGCCCTAATAGCTCCTCCACTCATCACTTGATACATGATCTCAAGACCCACATTCTCTCTCCTGTTTCTTACTCGCCCTCCATTATCTGTTAACGTCAAGCAAAAGGTAACCAACACCCTTGGCAATTGGGAGTCAAACAAAAGGGTGAAGTCTTTCCTTCTGCTGCGGTTAATTTGAAATCTACGTGTAAGTGCTCGTGACACGATGGGCGGCGCAAAGAGTTTTAGTTGGTACATAGGTGGTTAGCCATGGGTGTCAGGTTGCGTGGCATAGGAGCAGCTTGGAGGGGTTTTTTTTTGTCTGAAAACTGGTTTTACTGCATGCCTCATGTGCCAGAGAAGCACGACCAAAGCCACATCCGTACATTTTTTTACGTTCAGTAAATAAACTGCTAATTCATTATACTTCCAGACAGTGTTAAATTAAACAAAATTTGACGTGCAGAATGCATTTGAGAGGTGAACGGTATTGCTATAAATAAACCAGGGCACGTGTCTGTTGTGTAATAGCATAAACACAATCATGTGATTTTATCCAGCCCCACTGAGCCTCAGTACTCTTATTCATACGGCTTCTGCATTGGGATATTTTGGCCATTTTCTTCTCATGGAGCGTTTTGTGTGTCGGAAGTAAACTTGAGTACCCGGTACGTAAGGGGGTATAAGACTCAAAGATCCATGCAAACTTGTTTACAAACTTGCTGTACTGCCATGAGCAGATATATTTCCTCTGTATATGTATCCGCCCCTCCACGTACTTTTTGACAAGAGCATACTCTGTATATCTGTCTCTCCAAATGGAACAAATACTGTTATACTTCATGTGGAGAGACTTATGAAGGGGAACCTTGGTGTTCTTATCTCTTTTGTTATTTGTATTCTGCACAACACCGCAAATTATTATTTAGTGTTATCTACTGCCATAGATGTCCTGGCCACATCACAGCCCAGTGGGTTTCGGAATATTGCTAAATCTACATGATCAATTTATGACGCGCATTTGTGATAAGCAGTGTTCAGGCTTACCATCTCTTACCTCTTAAGGTATTGGATTACATACGCGTGTCACCAAACTCGGCTCAAAAACACAATTGTTGTGGGTTTGTGACCCGCTGATTCTGTTCACATCTACAATAACCTTGGCTCACAGCTAAAATGTGCCACTTGGAAATGCTCTGCGTCGCGCATGCATATTGGGTGTGTACTTGCGTTGAAAGTTGTCACTCGGATACTCTCTCAGCAATAGTGGAGGACAAATTGGTGGTGAGCCCTCAGTTTTCATCTCCACGAGTGATCCGTGGGCAAACAGGAGGCGTCATTGTGTGGCGAGTTATTCTAGGTTCCTCGGCAAGTCAAGCGTTAACTACATACATTCCATTGGCTACAATGGGGTTGGTATTTACTCTAATGGCGTCATTCTTGCGAGATGGCATTTTGAATGTAATGCCACTGTGAGAGCTAGCAAGGAGTAGCTTTTGTTTGTTTTGTTTGTCCTCTGCAGTGCAGCAACGGCGGTGCAGTAAACATTTGCCCAAATTTGCAAGAGTATATTCAACTGTTTGAAACGGGCTATTATTCCAAAGCGCTCGTTAAGATGTCTTATGTCGTTGACAAGAGCATCCTGTGCATGAGCGACGGTGTGCGCTTCTGTCATGGTGGGTAAACAGGAGCAGGCATTTTTTAACTGGCACGTCGTCGCCGCCGTTGTAAACACGCAAACGCTAACCCAAAGGTCACTCTTCTGGGCCAAATCTCAGTTACACCGTGGTGTGTTTGCTCATTCTTGAGTGGAGTTTGTCACTGTTGCCCAGGCCTTGACTTTTTCGGCAGCGTCGGGTCAGTACCCCATGTCCCACAAAAATAAATACGTCAAAGATATCTACACGGTGGCCATAAAGAAAGTAACAAGCGGCAACTTTACCGTGCTGCGTTTTAAAAACTGATGAACATGATCTGGTCCGAGCACTGATTGTGGAAAAGATAATAACCCTACAAATTGCCCTATTTTGGCCTCTGTGAGCAAGAACTTTAGAAGATAAGCACATGAGTACAATCTGATGGCTTTATGGAGGGTCATTTACAAGATTATTCTAACAATCCTCCCCATAATAGTGGGACTTGGGTATGGCCCAGTACACCGTGCAATGGTAGGAGTGTTGACTTCAATGTTAAAGCTCTGAAAATTACGATTTCCTGTTTACGCCTTTCAGTGTGAAAATCCAATGATGTTTCACAGACATTAAAATATATGCAGAATATGCCTGACAGTCATCTCGCCGCCATCCTTGAGGAGTGCTGACTTAACGTTTTAGACGTGCACAAAAAAATTACGACCCAATCTAAACCTGCAATGCATACAGTTTATGGTTAACACGTGTGTGGCAGTAAATGGTAACTTTAAGGTTGGCTATTGTTCAAGTTTCACGTGGTGTATACAGTATGGGTTGGAGCAGTGGGAGAGTGGTTTAGCATATCGCGATATGAACCCATCAACCTAAGTTTGATTTTGCCGGCCACGGCTAACGTCAGTGGCAACTGTTATCTTCACTGGCAACTGGCCTACCCTGCACCCTCCCCCTTCAACAAGCCACACTGATGAACGTGATGAAGTGTGATCTAATAACAATCATGACTGACACAGCATGGGGAGACCTTGATCCAGTCGTGGATTGTGTATATACATAGTGTGTAAATTGTACTTGAAAAAATACTGTGATTCCTCAGTTTCAAAATAATGCAAAGTTCATAATGTGCCCATTGATAAGGGTGCATTATGCAATAGCCCTTGCAATAAATGCACGATAACAGCCGATAGCTTCTGACATTGCATACGATGCTGTACTTGGCTTCACTCTCAGCCACTGCCGTATGCAGTACATGGGATATATTTTAGGTTTTTAGAATCTCAACCTCATGCTTTTTACACCCCTGTTAAAAATGTGCCTGTGGGAGGTGTTTTGAGGCTCTCACGTGGAATTGTTGGCATTTATCTGCAGCTTAAAACATGTAATATGGAAACTGGTAATACTGGATGGGCGCCAGATTTATTTTATTTTAAAGGTCGTAAAATGAACGCATGTAACCTGCCCCCGGGTGCTTATCAGATCTATGACGTACTCTGCTTGTGGTTCGGGGGGGATCAAAGGTCAGAGCATGCCGAGTAGCCACTGCTGAGATCCTCAGTTTGAATCTCGACAGCTGCCCGTGACTCACCTGGGTTGATGTTCTCAGCCTTGGCAATATTTGGTTAATTGTCATTTGACAAAAATACTTTGACAGGGTGGGAAAGTATTCTCTCCTCCTATGTGAATTAGAGGTGACTTGAAGGGATTTCAAAGGCAGCTCTGTGGAATATGCTTCTCTGGACCATGCTATAACATGAAGGGATTGTTCGTTTTATGATGTGATGCTGATAGCATGTTACGTATAAAATCGGGGGAGAAATGTTTTTTTTTACAGTCCCATTCCTGAGGCTCTCAGTATGTGGAGTGAAATGTCTAACTTCATGCTGAACAATACACTCTACAACCATAACACATCAGAGTACTTTCCAGCACAACTGCGAAGATCTAAGCTTTAACAAAAAGGTTTAAAACGTCAATGAGATTCAGTATTTAGATGCACCTCCTGAACATGTGTAACTTCTAGCTAACTAGATAAATGTCACAACATAAGAAACAATCAAAAGCCACGTACACTTTACGTATGAAGAAATCAACACATTACAAGCTGTGTAGAATGATTTGGAACATTTCTATGAAGCTGTTCGCCATGCCTGCGAGTAAACATTGTATCCAATGCAGTTTCCAAAGTTTATATTTACTCAAGAACAGTTGTGCACAAAACTCCGACCAACCTTTACTGAGTGCACTCTTCCAATCTCTTTCATTTGATGTTCCAGCTATGTTGTGTGTTTGTGACCCGCTTGGGAAACCTGTTTGCCCCCAACAGTTTGAAGTCTGAAATGGGGGTTTGTTTAATGGTTGTTCCATTTGGGTGACCGTTAAGTAGTGAGCAGTAGGGCTTTTTGTTTAGCACAGCCGACTCTTGATGTGTATTTTTTGTAATGATTGCCTTGAACTAGAAAAGCCCTGTTCCTTTCAACCTCTGCTCTTGTGTAGCTGCAGACTGATTTAGTTGCCTGGCCAGCCCAGCTTGTGTTTCATTAACTATTGCCATCCGCTGGAGGTGAGGTGAGGTGTCTGCCCACTGCGTTTACTTATTCAACAGATGGTTGTTCAAGGGGAAGGCTTCATAAAATCCCACAGCCCTCATCAATAATTGATCACAAACAGGATTTGCTTTAAACGTGATGCATATTTATCTTTTATCTTACTAATGGTTTGCGTCTGTCTGCCTACTGGTGGCGTTTGCGACATTTAAAAATGTACACGGCAGGGAGAAAGCAACATTATTTGGAGACAAAATTAGCTGTTTGTATTAAATTCCCACTTGAATAATTTGTTTTGCATCAGTTTGACCTTACGTGTGCAGTCATGTTTTATACTAAGAGTGCTTTCTGAACAACTGCTTTTAGCTAGATTTCCAAAAATACATGATAAAACAAAAAATATCTGCACGTTTTTTCTATTAATTAGCAGGAAAAAATACCGATCAAAAGGATGAATGATGCCGTTCAACGTTTAATGTTAAACACAAAAAAATAAATTGACACTGCAATAGAACACAAACACAAACCCGGCACATTCATCAATAACGGCGCCTCGAAAAGGGGATATATAAATAATGAATATGTTAGGAATTTTATGGACAATGGTTCTTTCTCTGCTATCAGGAAGGGAGCCATTGCCTGTAATGTCACCTTTTAATGTTATTGACGAAATGTATTGAGTTTTTATTTCACGTTTGCTTTCTTGACCGAGTTTGGGTCTTTTCTGGTTGGAACTAGGAAGGTAAGTCTGTGCACCGGTTGTGTGTATGCGTGTGTGTTACGTGTGCGTATGCTACACTACCGCTTGTGGGGAGCAGTAGTGTAGTGGTTAGCACGCTGCGCCACGAATCTGGCGACACGAGTTCGATTCCCGCTTATGGCTAACACCAGTGACGATTATCTGAACCGGTCATGGGCCTCCTACCCGAGGTGAACTCGGCCTCAAATTAGTACCTCGTGCAGTGTGTAAACATCGCCACTGGGGAGACAAAGGCAGCCGGGTTTGGTGCTGGCCACCCACCCCCTCGTGTGCCGTGCCAGCCTTCATAGATGCTCGCTAACAGCACTTGCTCCAACAGTCTGCTCAGGCTATACGGGGGATATTTGACTGTGTGTGTACGTGTGCCTTGTCGTTTCCACGTGCCCACGGCTTGCAGCAAGAAATCATCAACGGCTCGGACTTTAACTTGCGCCGCCATGGCTCCTTGGCCTCCATCCTGTCGACCACCAGTGCCTTTTCTACCACCTCCATATCCTCTTTCAAGGTGGGCAGTTGCGTGTGTCAACAAAAAACAACACAAATGGCTAAAATGAAAACCGTGACAATAACCTCAATGACGAAAAATATTTTCCTGAAGCCCATTGCTACAAGGAAATGCTGACCCTGGCCAAATGTATCTTTGTTCCAGGGTTTGTTATGCGTACCTTCTTTTGCCTGGATAATCAATTTTGTTATCGTCGGTGGAGTGGTGCCGCAGTGGATTACGCGCTACGCCTTGAACCCTGCGACCTGAGTTTGATACGTGGCCATGGCTAACGTCAGTGGCGAGTGATATCTGATCCCCAGCCCTCCCCACCCCCTCCGACCCTCACCAACCGGCACAGACCATCGTGGTGGTAATGTAAGGTCGAACAACCCCCTTTATCGACACGGCTTGGGGAGGCCTTCATCCAACAGTTAATTTTAGATTATCAGGCTTTCCTATTTTTAACGGTGAACTACGCATACAAGGCATTAGTCACATTTGTGGATATATTTTTTTATGTAAGAGGTGTTTTATCACGTGTAATATGTGGTTTCAAGGTGGGTTGTGTGTAATGAAATAACAAGGGTGTGATGTAGAACTGGAATATGTTTTAAACAAACAAAAAATAGCTTGGAAAAGTGGGACACCTCATTTGTTAATTGTCTCATCAGCACATTTCTGCACATTCATCGGTTTTAATTTACACGTGTTGAAGACGCGATGCCATTTCTCATGAACTCTTCATGCCACAAAGCAGTGGTTCCCAACCTTTCACACACCTGTCAACCCCTTTTCAGTACCTACCTTATTACAGACCAATTCAGACTTTATTGGTCCCCCCGTGCCCTTACAAATCTCAACGTTCATCCTACAAAGTCGAGGGAGAAGCACAAACAAATAGACACATTTTTTTTGCCCGCATTGAAACGGGTGTACACCGTATGGACCTGAAAACTCAATATCCCTGTTCAAGAATACAGGTAAACCGTATGGGTTGACAGGTATGCTTTCAGGACCCCTCTTGCCATAAAATAACATGCCTCGAAAAGCACCGGAAAATGCTCATCAAAGAGTTACTGAAACTATATATTTTTTTCAATTGGTCTGAATAGTTTTGCAATGAGCAGTACAAAATATAGCGTGTAGGTGAAAAAAGTAACTGCGACAGTTCCACACAGTGCTTCCCACGGTCTTGCAGACCACGAGTGTCTGGCGGGTCACAGGTATGGGAACCACTTTTCAAGAGTCCCATTACGTACGGCAGGAGCAGTGTTTGTTGTTGATCTTGTTATTGCACTGCTTCTATAGGTGTATTGATGCTTTTTTTCCTCGCTTCTCAGGTACAGAATGAGTGGATTACGTACTGTTTTTGTTTGGCCTGTTCGTCACTGCCACACATCTGATGATGGAGCTGTTTGTTTTGTGTGTACATGCGAGTGCTTTGTACGTGTGTTTTTGTGTGTGTGCAGACCCTTTCGCACACACAATGGACGAAAGGAATCTAAGAAATGAGTGTGAATGAATAACTTATCTTTTATTACTGTCGCTAGACCGCTGTTTACGTGACCTCCCAAAGCAACCCTAAGAAAAACATGTCTCTTTTTAGAGCAAAGGTCACCAAAGTTTGGAAAAAGGTTAATGCACAATCTCTGTTCTTTGTAATCTGTTTATGCTCTTCCAAAAGTGCAGACCTCGTGTGTCATCTTCGCAGTTCATCTTTTCGCATCTATCGGTTAATAAAGCCGTGCATTTGCGCACGCTCTCTCTTACAGTACGCGGGAATGACGCGCATGGGTTAAAAATGGACATGTCTTCATCAGTGTGGGAAACGTGACCTGCAATTTGGAAAAAACAATGTAACGTCCTGTGTCTAGTAAGACGACGAGAGTCACAATTTACGTTTGTTCGTTTCTCAATCCGCTTGTCCTGGTGAGGGTCGCGGCAGCATGTTGAGTGGGGTGGTCCAGACCTCCCTTTCCCTGGCGACGGACTATAACTCTTCCTGGGGAATTCCGAGACATTCTCAGGCCAGCCGAGCGCCAGTGTGTTCTGGGCCGGCCACCCGGGGGTCTTCACCCAGTCACAATGTTTTTCTTTATTTGTACCATCTCGTTATTTCCATCATCGTTAGCAATCATTTGGACATAATTTGCCTAGATTGCAAATAATCTTTCTCACACACTCACGATTTGATGCAAATATCACGAGCATTAGGGGGGCGGGGGGGGGGTCATGGCGCAACAGTTCACGACGCCTTGCCCTATCAACCTGGCGACCCGAGTTAAATTCCCGGTCACAGGTCACACTGCGAGTGATATTGGAATCAATCAGTCCTGGAGCCCCCCAACCCCCCATCTGCTTTCGCTGACCTGCACTGACCAACATGGTGAAGTATAGATTTGAAGCTTTCGTAACTGCAAGGATTCATATTCTTAGGTTTTTTTCGGTAAAGTCGCGTAAAAGTAAAATATTTTACTTTTATTAAATTTTTTTTTTACCTACGTGACTTTACGGAGAAAAAAACCTAAGAATATGGTGAAGTATGGTCAATCGACATCCGTGTGTATTATAATAGTCTGAGGAGGCCTTTGTCCTCCAGCAGCATGACAAAGGACCATAACTTGTCATAAATTATCACGAGCATAAGACGATATTTTAATCGACAGGTTGATGCATCGTTGCACACTTAACGCATGCCAGATTCTGTCTGTAAGTGAAGATGGTCTCGCGGGAGCACGTTTTCCAGTTGCAGAGGTTTGTGGTTCTGAGCCCAGTGGCTGCCCTGGTTAATACTGCAGGTATACGAACCAAACTTTACGCACTGCCTGCTTCACCGCGGATGTTATAGATCCCATGACGTTATACCAAAAATAATAGAACGTTGAAAATCTATTACAAATGACGTAATCGGGTCAAGCCGTCCCCAGAAATGAGGCTATTTCATACTCTACCCATCTGTGAAACATAGTGCCTTCGTGAAAGCCTCATGCCACAACAACAGCCCACATTCGAATTGTGTACGGTCGATCAAATGTGCTCTTGTGACGCTGTGAGTTTCGCCCGTTCCGCGCTGATGCCCCTCAAATCCGTGCTTGCAGCGGACACGGGGGCTGAGGGAGAAGCTGGCGGAGCTGGAGACGTTTCGGGACATCCTGTGCCGCCAGGTGGAGACACTGCAGAAGTATTTTGACGCCTGCGCCGACTCCAGCAGCCTCGACGTCCTGCACCGTGATCGTGGTGAAATGCTCCGGCAGAAAGCATTGTCCCTCCTGCCCTCTTGTCTCTCTCTCTGTTATCACAAGGAGGAAGCCAAGCTGGCTGTGTGTTTTGCAAACCTCAGATGGCTCGCAACGCATTATATACATCCAGTGTTTGAAAAGAGCTGCAACTCTGTCATTGTTCCTCTCAGAAGGCGCCCGTGAGAACGTCCGGCGGGGAGATTGAGTGATGAAATCAGCTTGTGTGTAGGTACTAGGTGGATTAATACGTAGCAGGATTGTGGTATATGGTGATTGGCTTGGGGAGGACCTCATCCATCAGTGGATTGTTTATGGCTAATCTGTAATTACGTGAAAGGGATAGCTCCAGATTTGTATTGGCCCTTGCCCTTCTGTTAGGTGTTGACCCTGGACATGTGTTCATTCACTTAATGAAGTGTTCTCTCAGTGGGGGATTGCTCATTCTCTTTTGTTACCCCCACAGCCTTGAACCCCCTTCCCCTATCCATCCGTACTGTCATCTCCCCTGCCCTTTTTTATTCTTGTTGGTTCTTTCGGTAAAGTCACGTAGAAGGGAAATAATAAAATAATAAAAATACAACATAATCAATGACGCTGTCTTTCCGACAGACCTGTTCTTCACCTGAGGACGGCTGCTTGCGTTGTGGCTGAAACGTCGTGAGAATTATTTTATTATGTTTTATTTTTATTATTTCCCTTTTACGTGACTTTACCGAAAGAACCAAGAAGATGAATCCCTGCAGTCACGAAAGCTTTAAGTCGAAATTTAAATCCCCTGCCCTTGTTCAAGTCCTGCCTCAAGAACTTCCTCTTTTCCCCCCTCTTCCTATGACTAACTGCCTCTTTCGACAAAATAATATGCACGCTGCTTACGTGTATCATCTTGAGACGTGGTTGCGTTTAGATGTAACTTGAACGTAAAAATATATCTACATAGTATCGTATTGTAAACAAAGGATGATGCTCATTTCTTTGCAGCTGCGGGCGATGATGATGATATTCTACATGAGTCAGGTGTGCACGGACCCCACCTCCTGAATGGCAACAGCGGGCACAAGGAGAAACGTGAGAGTGAGTGCCTTGTTTGTTTGCTACCGCAGCAGCCGGCCAACCTGGGCGATCTGCCTCTTTGTCTGCTAGGATATGCACCTGTCGGCAAAACCATTGCCGTGTGCAAAGGTGTGCACTGACGAATTGTCAAGCCGGTGTCGCGTATAAATGTCATTTATCCTGGAAAGACTGAAGGTTACATCTTCAGGAGGGTCCTGCACCCAAAAAACACCCAAAAAACAGCCGCCGTACGTAATAACCTTTGTGTATGAGAGGCACACAAATACAAAGCATCCACCAACGCTTGCTTTCAAAGTGCTAGTTTATAGGTGTGCCCCACCACGCCCAACATCGAGGTTCAGTCAGGAGAATAGGCTCTTGGCATTAGCTTAGTATTTCAGCTGTTCAACCGGTAGTCGGTACAGTAGCATTTGGGATCAAACGGAATGACGAAGATATAATGTTTGACTTAGGTTTGTTAATATTTTCATTATGAATCCACCTACAAAGGCATTTCAGTGCTATTTCATAGTTCTCTGAACAAAGCTTGAAAGAATAAATTCTATTGAGACATTTCTAGTTTAATTTGTAAAGTTAATGTTGCAGTGTGTGCATGTTCTTCACCCTAAAGGTACTTTGAAATGTCACGGTGATCTTTACGCATGCTGTGAACTTTTACACGTCGGCACACTCGCAGAAACTTTACATTTCCAATTCTGCTCCAAATAAAGTCAATTTACTCTTATATTTTACAAATGTAATCATTTCATCGTGCACGCACCCTCCTGTCTGATGGGTTTCGAGTCGTACCACGTATTGTTAGGCATGATGCCCGATTTCGATTTAAAGCTTTCGTGACTGCAGGGATTCATCTTCTTGGTTCTTTCGGTAAAGTCACGTAGAAGGGAAATAATAAAATAATAAAAATAAAACATAAAATAATTCTCACGACGTTTCGGTCACAACGCAAGCAGCCGTCTTCAGGTGGAGAACAGGTCTGTCAAGAAGGCAGACCTGTTCTCGACAGACCTGTTCTCCACCTGAAGACGGCTGCTTGCGTTGTGGCCGAAACGTCGTGAGAATTATTTTATTATGTTTTATTTTTATTATTTTATTACTTCCCTTCTACGTGACTTTACCGAAAGAACCAAAAAGATGATGCCCGATGTTTCGCTCTTCGTGCTGGGAGCTTTTTCAGGAACTGAATTTGAGCCGAAGCTCTCCCAGCACATGGAGTAGAATGTCAGACATCGTTCCGAACAACGAACAGTAGAATCTGAAATTCCTCGGGAGGGAGCTGTGCGGCACAACGACGAAAGCCTGCGGTCGCGTTATTGACACGGCCTTTTCCACCGCTGTCACAACGGTCCCCTTTGCCTCGCCGCCGTCCAGTGTGCTTCACGGGCCCCGGCGGCCGCGTCAACGGCCTGGACTTCAAGGGCGAGGCCATCACATTCAAAGCGACAACGGCGGGGATCCTGGCCACCCTGTCCCACTGCGTGGAGCTCATGAGCAAGTGCGACGAGAGCTGGCAGAAGCGGCTCGATCGGGTGGGTCTCGTGCCGCCACACTCTGCACTGCCCGTCCGAGTAATACGACGGTGTAGGTTTTCGCAGGTTGTGTTGTGTTATAAAGGTCGTTGAGGCGACTTCTGAAATCCGTCTTTTATTCAACTTGTATTACAGCTTTCCTTCACACTGCTGGCAGGCAGCGCGAGAGGGATAGATAAAGAGAGACGCACCGCCACGTGGCAACCCGGAGCCCCGCTCCTGCGTTGCCCCCTTCCTCTGTTCGTTCCCGTTCTGAGCCCATGTCGTTCGTCTCCACCCCTATTTAATACCCGGGTCACGTGGTTCGTTTCCACCAATCCTGGTTAGCCTCCATGGAATCTTCCAGGCCCCCTCGTAAGCTGCCGGGACCACGTCCCTGACTCATCTCCCCATTGGCTGTGGCTCAGGCCAGCAGAACCAATCATCTACTTACAGCTGTCACCTTTCCATTACGTTAGGGCCACGCCCCTAGACTTCCCCCCATTGGCTATAATACAGGACCGGCAGAGCCAATCATCATGACGAGTTGTGATACGTCATTGAGCCGAATATATCCTTACATTACAGTTGTATGGCTGCCCGATGTGTTTTCGGGATGTACCGTGCGTCGTTCGACGTGACGCCCGATGTTTCTTTCCACGCGCTGAGAGAGCTTCAGCGACTAAATTGAACCTGCTCACTGTCCCCCTTTGAATTATAAAAAGCAGCAGCAGGCAACCCTACACAATTGAGGGAGAAATGAGCCGCTCAGTTTATTTTCCTAAAGAAACTCAGAGTGTGAAGCTAAATGTCGGGCATCATGCCGAACAGCACGCGGTAGCAGAAAATACATCGGAGGGCTAGCCGCCTGAATTGTGAGGTTGCGTTTCGCTTGTTATTTTGTAGGGCAGTTTGCACAAGTTGGTTGGTGAGAATGTGCATGCCATTGCGTGCATCATAACTTGGCCCCAGGGGGTTCCCATGTGCTGAAATTGTGAGTAATTTTGTTAAATGGGCCGTGGTTTCCTTTACATGTTGCTGGAAAAGCATCCAGGCTGAGGCTTGTTCCAGCAGCAGGCAGGAAAACTGATTTATTTTTCACAATTATGCTTTCTTCATGACCAGATGGGAGCCTTTGGTAAGTTATACAAGCAACAGAATCGTTAACATTTGAGAAGGTAATGCACTTTGCAAGTTAATAAATGCCTCCCCTTGCTTATGACATTACAAGCTCTTAAAAGTTCACTTTTGAGCATGCTGCATTGGAGGGATGCTGCCGTAGTGTATTAGCACACTGGTCTTACAATCCACAGGTCGCAGATTCTATGCCATCTCGACAATTGCAAGTTTCTTAAAGCGTCCTGCCTCTGTCCACCCAGCATTGTAATCAACTGGTCGGTCGTGTACGGTGGGGCCCAAGTTTTGGTCCTCCCACCTGTCTCAAAATGTCTGGCCAGTGTGCAGGTAATTATCCTTTAGAGGGGCTCCCCAGAACTCTCCCAAATAGAGGTCCATCAGTCAGCTGTAGCATGAGCAAGCAATCGCAGAAAACCACATTGTTACACGGTGGCTGTGACAGGAATTGAACCTCCCGAGCCCGTGATGAATGGCACAGTGGTGAGCGGGTGTCTTCCCCTGACTGGTCACCGTGTCCCAACAGGAGGTGGAGAAGAGGCGGCGGGCGGAAGAGGCTTACAGGAACACCTTGGAGGAGCTCAAGAAGAAATCCTACTTCAACGGACCCGATTACGAGGTCTGTTAATTGCTTAGGGTTTGGTCATTTGTGTCGATTGAGCCGTCGTATCGATTGCAGTTAAAGGAACTGAATGGTGGGACTGGAATGAGCGCAGTTTTTGGGCATGTTAACGAGATGAGTTGGGAAGTATCTTCGTGAAACCACACACTTGATATTCCCTTTATTGTCCGTCATGAGATGTGCTCTTGAAATCGGGCCAGCATCCCCATCAGGTTATTATATTGAAACTTTTCTATTCAGAACCTTCACAGCGAGCAAGTCAGAAACTGGCCCACAGATTTGGTGCGCAAAAGTACTCCTGGAGTCACTTAGGTTGTTCTCCTTATTCAATTAAATTAAACTTCATGTATAATAGAGCCTTATGATAATTACCATCTCGGCGCACTTCACAAGGTTACGATTATCCAACATTAAAGTACAACAAGTAGTAAGATTACAGGAATTTTTTTATTTATCCAAACAAGGGGCACACCATTTATATGCTCTGTAAAGTGTATGCATTACATCTCAATCAAACCAACATGTTTAATTGTTATGGCTGAAATAACCCAAATTAATTCACAAACCAAATTTTATTTGATTAGTTTTTTTGTGCAGTCGTCATTTCCTGGACTAAGACCGCTAATCTTTTACACTCTAGAACACAGTTTTTATCATGGGCTGGCTGGTACCTGGATTCAAATCCAGTATCTCAGCGATTAGATTTCAGCATCTCTGATAATGTATTATCCCCCTAATACCACCCAGCCACGTCGCCAAGTCAGTCTCAGGGTTGCTCTCTCATGCTAAAGTCCAGAGCTAAGTCGAGGTGCCCAGGATGTGTGTGCTCAGTCACATTGCCAGTAGTAAAATCCCACACAAGTTTTACTGGTTGCCTGCTGTAATAAGTTTCAGTGGAAGATACAATTCCACTGCAGGTATGGTACAGTGTGTTCTCGAAATTCCGGGCATGTATGTATGTATGTTGAACTTCTTTCGCACTGTATGTAGCCATCCGTGCGAATCGGAGGTGCGGGGGAAGGACAATAAACTAAACACGAAAATCAGTTCTAAAGAAATGAGTTTTCAATCTAGATTTAAAAGTGCATAGCTCCAGTGGCTTCCTAATATCGGAGGGAAGAGCGTTCCAGACGTCCACACAAGCGCATCTGAAAGCGCACGATGCAGTGACCACCGTCTATTCGATGTTTAGCCAAAAAAATGTCAGTTGGTTTGGTGCCCCCGGTATATCCATTCTTTTTTACGAAATAATGATTTACATGCAGTTATTTTTCTCCAATGTACTGCTTGTAATGCTATTTATATTGCGTGTAACATAAAAAAAAATTAAAAGAGAGGTAAAAAAACCCAACTGAAATCACCAAAAATCACAATCCAATTCTGGAAGGCGCAAATCCACTTCTACAGTGGTTACTACACAGTTCAATACGACAGTGAATCTGCCCGGTGCATGATATTTCTACACAGCGTGGAAACGCAGCTAACAGCAAGTCGGAATTTCTTTGCACGCTTGTTACATTTTTTTAGCTTCAAGAGTGCGACTTAAAAATTTTCCTTGCTTAAATAATAATTTATTTTCTCTTTTTCACCTACGTGACTTTACCGAAAAAACCAAAGAGTATGGACCCTTGCAGTTACGAAAACTTCAAATCTATAATTAAATAATAATGTTTTTTTAAAATACACAACGATGTCGTTCATGTAAATTTACATCTTACAATCGCTGGGGAACCACAGGGAAGATGGAAGGCAGCCAGGTGGTGTGCTATTGCCAACAATTAAAACTTTAAAAAAAGCTTTTTTTTATTGTACCAAGTAAGGCCCCACTGAGCTATGTAGCTTTTTTATAAGCGACCTGGCCACAAATGAAGTGGCTTATCACGTGAAAATGTATAGCAGCCAAATATTCTAAACACGTGTTTCTAAACGTGGTGGGGAAAAACCTGAAGACCTGGAGAAAAATTAATGCGACAATGGGGACAACATAGAAACTCCAAATATACAACAGGCATCATGGTTGGGATCGAACCCATGACCTGTATACCAGGCAAGGCGGTTAACATCTCGTACCGTGGTAAGTTAACATCTCGCCACCGTGGCGCCCGAGCTCTGCAGTCCTCTATGAATTAAAATGTTCGTGGCCAATAAGTGAGCGTTTGTTTGTACATGTGGGAGGAATCCAGAACACTCGGAGAGAACCCACACATGCGAGGGGACAAGACATTATCCCACACGGATGGGACAGATGATATTAGTCTGCACTTTGCTCTACTATCTTCTCCTAGAAAGCCCAGGGTATGGCACCTCGACGCCAACCGGATGGGGAAATGCCCCTATATTTGTGTAATCCAACACGTTCCTTCGGAGTGGGCAGGTAGGAACATGGTTGGAAAGCGCATTCGCGCGATCCGTGTCACGCGGCGCAAGCTGCGTGGGGCGGCGCGTCACGTGGTGCTGAGCCCGCCCAAAGCGCTCTGAAATACAAATCGAGGGCGTGGCTATGCACGACAGACAGACAGACAAATAATCCCTGGTGGGCAGTGTGGAACTGTTGTTCCTACCTGTATTAACCTTCACCTCCACAGTGCTGGATTGCAGGCATGCGCCACCACTGCCGGGCTAGATCATTTGGGGGTCCCTCAAAAAAAGCCCTATTATATTCCGGGACGCGGTACATAGCCAATGTTTTTTCGGGGATAAGCTCGTTGGATGAATTCACGCAATGCTTATATATAGCCTCAACAACAGTGGCAAGCGAGCAGTGTTGTTGAGTTGCTATTCACAGTTTAGGAAGGAAATGGAACATAAACACAAAAAATGCGCAAAGAAGCTTGGAGAGAGAGAGAGATTGATACTAGGATTTACGTAAACTATAAATTGTCTTTAACCTGGATTTTAGATTTTTTTAAGTACAGGTTAAAGACAATTCTATTTTTAACTGTAAAGAAAAATAAGTGTATTTGGGCAGGACATGCTACTCGGAGGGATAATGGCCAATGGTCTGGAATGAATGGAATGTGTCCCAAATATATCTACCACGAATGTACTCGGTGTTTAGGTATGAGGTGGTTTATTAAAACTCAAGATGATGAGATATGCCAACGGCCTGGGGAGACTTTCATCCAGAAGTGTATCGATCATGGCCGGTGATTTTGTTTAATCAGTTAAGCATAGGCCCAAAATACCAAGTAGCAAGCAACAACAAAGACCATTAAAGGTATAATACGTAAGAGTGAATACATTTCTTGAATTGGGAAAGACACGATGGGAGGGTATTTCAAAGTCAAGCAGAGGAGGAGCAAAACGGATGTGATAAAGATTAACTGTTGAAGATTTTAAATTCAATTTTGATTTGAAGCTTTCGTGACTGCAGGGATTCATCTTCTTGGTTCTTTCGGTAAAGTCACGTAGAAGGGAAACAATAAAAGTATTTAAACATATATAATTTTATTTTCTCCCTTCTACGTGACTTTACCGAAAGAACCAAGAATATAGTTTAAATTCAGTACGCGAAGTGAAATTTTTGCGTTCGGTTTTGGCACCAAGCCACGGTCGCCAGTCAGCACGCGGAGTGGAATTTGTGTGCGGCTTGGGCATGCCAGCGTGGGGTCTCCAGGAAGCACTCGCAGCGTAGGTCTTAGTTGGGAGAAACTCAATTGACCTCAGAAGATTTCGATTTAAAGTTTTCGCAAGCAGCCATCCTCAGACCAGGTCTGTCGGGGAGACAGCGTCTGAATTCAGACGCTGTCTCCCCGACAGACCTGGTCTTCACCTGAGGACGGCTGCTTGCGTTGTGGCCGAAACGTCGTGAGAATTATTTTATTATGTTTTATTTTCATTATTTTATTACTTCCCTTCTACGTGACTTTACCGAAAGCACCAAGAAGATGTATATAAATGTTTAATAAAGTACAGTACTGTACAGTAAATGATTCACTAATCATCGGTAGCATCCAGGTCAGATAGAACACTAGATATTTTTGTGGACTCGTTTCTTGCGCGGACGATAGTTACACGCCGCCAAATACGCATTCACGTGATAGTGAGGGTAGGGGGTGATTTTATTGCTTCCCGCTCGGTCGCGTATGAGCGGGTCCACGTACTCTTGAGACCCTTATTGTACTGCGTTTATGCTTCACTTGCTGGAAGCTTCTTCAAGCCCAGGCTCTTGAGAACTGAATAATCTTCAGGAACTGATTTTAAGAAGAAGGTTGAACTTGAAGAGGCTGCCAGCACGTGGAACGAAATGTCAGACATCGTGACGAGCATTATGCTGTGCAACCTGAAAACAAATTGGAACCATTCAGCGCAATTGCAAAAAGCTACGTGGTGGTGTAAAAACTCGTATCGCCAGAAATTACTTGCAACAACTGGTGGTGACAGCGAGGGAAAACTGTCCATTGACTTTCATGATCATAACTTGCACATGCCATGTCATGATTTACCACCGCAGCAAGCAGTTAGGTTCTGCATATTCAGGGTAGCGATTCGAGTCTTTTTCGTCGTGTTTTTTTACCACGTTTGTAATTTTTTACCCTTTTTCAGTCCTTGCGCAGGTTTTGTTGGTACCATTATCTTAATTGTATCGCTATTGGCATAGCATTTGTATGGATTGTAAGTAATCCATTCTCAAGCGTGTGATTCGATGCCAGCATCATGAGCTTAAGATTCAGCTTTAATAATCTGAATCGACACATCACTGCATGCTTAACCTGCCATTATATTCCTGCACCGTCATCAGTAGTAAAGTTAGCGATAGTAAGGTTGAAAACAGAAAATAAACATACCAAAAGCCAAGAGTTATTGCCAAAGAATGTCCCTTTGACATTTTACTGAGTTATACTACAATGCAACGTTTGTGTTGCTAATGGGAATATTTGTAAGAAGCAGTGTACATTCAGCAATAGGGGTGCTGTGGCTGGATAATAAATCATATTTAGAAGAGGGAGCGGGTGAAGGCAAGAACCGAACACGCAACTTGCCCAGGGCAGATCTATTAAGGAGAGGAGCCACACCCTACATGCATGCCCCCACTCCATGAGAGCCAGAAAGCACAGCACGTACAAGCGATTTGTTCCTTGCTCCAGTATGAAGAATAGGGGGGGTGGATAGCCAGCACTGCACCCCACTGCTCTGTTGTTACCGCACGTACTTCGGTGCTTTGCGTCAGTGTTTCGCGCCTTCACTAACCTGCACTGACCAGTGTCATGAAATCTGGACAAATCGCCCCCATGATCTGCACGGCATGGGGAGTCCCTCATCTAGCAGTGGATTGGCAAAAGGGCTGTCTGTACGTGTTTAATGTGCAATTTAATTCATTATCGTGACCTCAATCTAGTCCTATCCATGTAGAAATTGTCCATAACTTTTAATGTCACATTTAATCGTATGCTTTTTTTTTTATTTTGCCTCACAAGAGGTGTTTCATTTGAACCTCATGGCGGGACCCCGGGGGGCCCATAAGCCCCCGGCTCTCGCGCAAACTGCGTTGCGACGTCATTTGATGTCTGTTGAAGGCGAGCGACACGGCAATCTATTCCGCTCGACGAGCTCTACACGATGCGCTAATCAAAGTTTTGTTTATGACTACGGCATTCGTCCTCGCTTCTGTGCTTGGACGACACGACAACAGAATGATCCGCGCCAGGTGGGTCGCGGCGTTCATGTGCGCGGTGGGACGGGGTCGCCAAAAATAAAATAATTACGATTTTGACTTACGTTTATTTGGGACCCTGAAATGCACCGCTCGAGTTTGAAGTCACGTGGTGGCACAGGCCTGTAACCCAGTGCTTTCGAAGCAAGTTGGCGACAGCGCTGCAGCTGGTTGCAGTCCCGGGTCGCTCTCACAGCTTGTCAACTGCTTTCGAATGACTCCGAGCTTGGCTCCGCGCCTCTGAGTTGCGGCCGTTGCGTCCGCAAATTTGCACGCGTTGTAAATTGCATTATTATTATTAAGAGTTTGTAGTTGACGTATATTTATAAGAATCTCAAATCTGTTGCATCGTGGTGTGGCCAAGAGATTCCAGCACGGCATGTGTTGTGAACCCATCTGTGCGGACCGTTTCAGCGTTGTCACCTGGTACACGTGGGTTTCCTCTGACTTCTCTGGATATCTTTCCTGTGGAAAACACTCCTTCATGTAACTGGCAAACACATCCCAATGCAAGGACCCTTCCTAAAGAGTCTTTAGACTGGATGGCACTATCCTGGATAAGGGCAAGCAACAAAGTATCGATCTTGTACTTGCTGTCTTGCTCTATGGGCCTGATAGTCGGATGCTTCAGGGGGCCACTGTTGTGTTTTTTTTTTTAATAAACATTTTTTATCATCATTCAAGAACACAGAATACAGTGGGAATTTCAAAAGGAGGGCAAAAATAACAGCTAACGTGTAACAAGCTAGAGTGCTAGACGTACTGAAAAGCACGTCTATGCAGAATCTTGGGATGCCATGGGATGACTTTGTGTCCAATCTATAGGCTACTGCGGAAGACTTAAGAAGAGGCTTGCTACCTTCACGATACCAGAACACCAAACATGGCACTTGGGGCACGTGGCTCGACGCTACCTCTTGGTCGAGCATGCCCACAAGGTGCTCTCGGCTAGAGAACCTCATGTCTGGAGGAGAATGAGGCTGAGGGGCTGGCCACAGGACTCGTAGCTTCATAAAATGGACTGCTACTGATAATTGTTTTTTTACCCTTCTATCTGGCAACATAACTGACACCTTTTTTACAAGGAGTCATGTTTACATAGACCACAATACCTGCAGTCATAATGCAAGTAGGTATTGTGGTCTATGTAAACATGACTCCTTGCAAAAAAAGGTGTCAGTTTTGTTGCCAGATAGAAGGGTAAAAGACCAATTATCATATTTTCATTGGCAAATGAGGTTCCAATGGTGGACTGCTACTGTCGAGCACTCGGGGATGGGAAAGTAGGAAAGGAGTTCGCCTTGGGGGCTTAGGACCAGGAGTGACCCCCCCCTCCCCCCCAAGGATGAAGACTCACTGGGTGCCGCGGTGGAGAGATGTTAACTACCTTGTCTGGTCTACAGGAGGTTGTAGGACTGATCCCGACCCTGACGCCTGTAAATTTGGAGATTGCATGTCCTCCCTGTGGTCGCATGGATTTCTCTCTGGGTCCTCCGATTTTTCCCTCAACATTTAGAATCAACATGCGTTTATAGTAACTGGCTGCTATAAATTACCACATGTTGTTTGTGGCCAGGTCGCTTCTGAGAAAAAGCTATAGAGCTTAGTGGGCCTTACCTGGTAAAATAAAAATGAAAATCTTTAGTTTGTTTATGGTTTACTTGAGGGTTTTGCAGGAGTGACCATAGGGGTTTGCTCCGGAATATGGATGCTGCTACGTGCCGTCTCGGCGCATAAAATACTTTGGATGCCCAAATTGAATTCCTCTGAACTACCACCTCTCCTCTCATTGTTCCACTCATTCCCTCCCCACCCCTCTCCCCTGTGGTGTTGTTTGTCATGCAGGAAGGGCCCAACAGCATCATAAAGGACGATGAGTTTTTTGACGCAGTGGAGGCTGCCCTGGATAGGCAAGACAAAATCGAGGAACAGGTACCAGTGGACAGCGCACACCATACCCTGCACGTATACGCACGTCCCTTTTGTCAATGCACTGCTGGATGGGTGAGCCTTCCAATACCGTGCGGGTTGCAGGTGTTGTGTGACCGGGTGCTTCACCACGCCGGTCAGTGTGGGGTGCTGAAGCCCGTGAACATAGACGTGGGATCATATAAGTGTTGTACAACAGTTGATTTTGTTGCGCTACCCTCTGCTGACAACAATGTAGCCTTTCTGAAGCCTCTAACGGCAGTTTTGTGTGGTGGGCACCTGTCTAAGCACTATCCACCCTGACGGGATTGGGCGCATTAGGGTGATTTTTACAAAGGCATGTCGACTACACGTACGGGTATGTACGTTAGCTTACTGTGTTGGTGCTGACTAGGCATTCATCGTTTTAAAGTTGTTTCGCTCACAGTACAAACATTGAATTATGCACGTATGAATATTATGATTTAGGAAAACGATAAGCAAATGTTACATTTAGGCTATGACTCAATGATGCGGAATGCACCTGATCTTGTCAGATCTTAATTCTAGATTTGAAGCTTTCGTGACTGCAAGGATTCATACTCTTAGTTCTTTCGGTAAAGTCACATAGGTAAAAAATGAAAATAAAAATTAATTGTCATATCAGCGTTGAGCCATGCACACAGGCTGTTGGTTATAGACTGCGCGGCTACACGGTGGGCAGCAGAGAGCAGTGCAATGCATTGTTGTCCTGTAAGTCTGTGCTTCCTGCCTTCACCAGCTCGCACTGGCCGGTGTCACGGCATATCGTGAAATAACGCCCATCCATAATTTGCCCGACATAGTAAAGTCTTTATCTAGCAGTGGACTGACGAAAGGGCTGTCTGGGCATGTACCAAACGAGTCGGCACAGACGAGAGAATTGAAGGCAAGAGGTACAACCAGAAACAACCAAGAATTGGTTCTTGAATTGGTTCATAACCCCCTAATGGTGATAGCTCATCAGATCATAGGGGTCGGAGAGTGTAAATCGTTAATGCCAACGCATTCAGGCCTTTTATTCTGATCAGCGTGGTGCAGTGGTTAGTGGGTTGCGCGATGAACCTGCTGAACCGAGTTTAATTCCCCGGGATACAGGTAACGGCTTTGGCGAGTGATATCTGAACAGATCCTGGGCACACCCCATCACCAACCCGCACTGACCAACGTGGTGAAGTATAGTCGGACAACAGTGGCGGCTCCTGCAAAATCTCTCAGGGGGGGCAAATGTCTGGATGATTGATAAGGATAAGGTCCACCCATGCAATGAATAAATTAACAGCTTAAGCATGTAAAGGCAACTTCACTTCTTTAATATTAATGAAAAATAAAGTGACTCTTACAATACATCTTGTTTGTTTATATACTCACTATTAAACAAACCACTCAAGTTTATTTTATTAAAGATTCCACTAGGTGGCGATAAATTATATTGTTGGATGAAACGTGCTTACGTATGATGACGTTAGCACGTATGATGACGTAAGCACGTTAGTGCATGCCCTCCCGGAAGCCATAGAGAATGCATTGGAGCGCCCCCGTTCGAAAAAAAACATCTTTGAATGTAAGTCTATGGGGCCACTCAGGGCGATTCTCAGCCGTAGTGAAATCGCCCAAAAAGAGGCGGTACTCCACAGAACGTGACATGACGCTGATTGGACTATATCCAGAGGCTGACAGTGACGGCTAGCGTGACTCTGTGGTTGAATGACATTGGTGGTGCGTCGCCCAATCGCCCTAATGAAGAAACCGCCCCTGTCGGACAACCCCCGTGACCGACACGGCGTGGGGGAGGCCTTCATCCAGCAGCGAATCGATGTAGGGCTCTGCGTACGTTGAATTGTTGTCATAGGCTTTAAGGTTCACACGGTACGATGTTGTCGTGTTGTAATGTTTTTAGTACCAAGTGGAGAGATCACGGACTCAACCACTGTCATCAGTGAGTTCCACGGAGTTGTTCACGACAACTGGCCAGCATCGTTACACGCAACAGGTAACGATGGTCCTGTCGGTCTCCTTCCAACTACTGTTTAGTACAGGGACTCATCTACTTACAAACATTTGATTTAGGAACTTTCAGAGATACGAACAAACCTGTCCAGTTGCCTGTGCAGACCGAGAGTCGTAAGTTCAACCGCCGCGCAATAGATGGCGATGGTGGCATCTACATCTGCAGAACGTGAAGGACCAGTGGCATCTACATCTACAGGAGATTATACAACCTTTAAAGCCATTCGCCGTGTTTAGTGTACACGCCGTACAACATGTTTGGAATCGACGGGAGTAAAGTTGGGCTTGCGAACAAATCGACTTGCGAACAGACCTCTGTAACCTAATTCGTTCGTTTAGGAGAGGAGACCCTGTATCGAAATGGAGCTGCTTGATTAACTTAGCGTACACGTGACGTAGTTGGAAGTGGGTCAGACCAGGGAGCTGACACCGCTGGCACCTGGGTTTGAATCTACGTTACGGCGGCAACTCGTGATTAAACCAGACGCTCAAGTGCAGCAATTTGATTGTCTAGGCCCGGTAGGTAGAGACCCATGGACTTTATAATATAGACACCGATGTACTCATGTTAAGATCAATAGACTTACATAGAGAATCATAGACCTACATAGTAACCAATATGACCTCTGTAGGGATGCAAAAATATACATAGAGACCCATATAGTCATATCGACCAAGTTGTGATTAACCTGGGTTGTCAAGGGTAGCAAGTTTGTATAAAAAATGTTTCGCATAATTTGACTGCATCTCTGAACGTATGAAAGTGTTGGTTTGACTTCCTTGCACCAAAATGTTTCTTTGTCGGAGTGTGCCATGTAGGAGCGTGCACTTTTGCTCGCGTGTGGATAAATAGGTCACTTGAAGGGATTTCAGAAGTAGTTGTGTGGAATCCGATTATACGTTTTGTTCTGTAACACATGGCGAGAGTTCAGTGGACATTTTGCCCCGTAACTTGACACTAACAGCGCAGTTGGATCAAGGAGTGTGGGGGACGTCCTGGTGTAGTATGACTTGCAACTTGATCAAGTATAAAAAGGTTTTGTTTGTGCAGGAAATTTGTAGGTCTTAGCCTTCTCGCAAATAATTGCACAAAAGCTGAACCGTAGAGTTGGAATTTGCACTGAATTATACTGCACTTGGGAACGAGAGTAAGCATTTTTACAAAGCATCTGCTACGTAGGTCAATTGTGATATCTTGCTTGAAGTCGGGGTAGAAAATCAATCAGTTAATCATCACCATCATCAGCTATCCACTGCCAGATGAAGGCCTTCTGAATGTATTATCATCCTTCACAGTCTCGTGATGGTATACTTTATCAGAGCAGTTTTAAATAAAATTTCGATTGAAATATTTCGTGACTGCAGGGATTCATATTCTTGGTTCTTTCGGTAAAGTCACGTAGAAGGGAGAATTAAATTGTTTCATTTTTATTATTTTATTATTTCCCTTCTACGTGACTTTACCAAAAGAACCAAGAATATCGTTTTAAATTACTTCATTATTAGAGACGGGCCCAAGCATGGTGAACATACGGATGCAGCCATTGCATGAACGCTTTCGACCTCAGTTGGAAAGAGTGAAGTACGCATCTGATCGACGACACACACGCAATGCGAGCAAACGCATTGTTCAGCAGATATGTCTCCAGGCACGATTTAAAAATAGATGCCGAATCTGCAGACGTTACCGAAGGTGGTAAGGACATCCAAAGGTTAGGAGCGTGTATTGTGAAAAGGTTCTGTTGGTCTTAATGCACCTTACGAGACCGGCGAACAGACGTATTGTTCGAACGCTTTCAACCTCTAACCGGAATGTGTTCAAAAGAAAACAATTGACGTGGCGTTGACGTGGCGGCGGCGGCACTGGCAGGTGGAGGAGGTGATCCAGAGACACATGCAGTACTCCCTGCAGGACGTGGGCGGGGACGCGAACTGGCAGCTGCTGGTGGAGGAAGGGGAGATGAAGGTGACTGCACGTTTCTCTCTGTCTGTGCCGCGTTACAGTCGCAATGTAAAGTCGCAAGGCTTGGCTACGTTGACAATTACAACCTGTCCCCCCCCCCCTCCCCCCGGTCGCCACATCCTCATCGTGAAAAATAGGCAACATGATGGGTACTTCTTTTTGAAAGCTACAGCTAAAGCGGGCTCTGGGTTAGTTGTGTTGTACTTAAATGAGTACGTGGTGCGGGGTGGGGGGGGAGTGGTAGTGTAGCGGTTAGCGCTACGCTGAGCTAAGAACCCGGCGACCCGAGTTCGATTCCCGCTCACGGCCAACACCGGTGACGATTATCTGAACCGGTCCTGGGCCTCCCCTAAGTTGACTCAGCCTTAAATGAGTAACTGGTGCAATGTGTAAACATTGCCACTGGGGAGACAAAGGCAGCCGGGGGTGGTGTTGGCCACCCACCCCCTCGAGTGCCGTGCCGACCTTTATAGGTGCTCGCTAACAGCACTTGCCCCAACAGTCTGTTCCAGGCTATGTGGGGCGTCTTTGTCTTTGTACTCAAATGAGTACGTGGTGCGGTGTGTAAACATCGCCACTGGGGAAGATAAAGGTGGTCGGGTGTGGTGTTGGCTAGCATACCCCCCTTTTGTGTCATGCAGGCCTTCATAGGTGCTACTCGTTAACAGCGCTTGCCCCCAAAAAGTCTGTCAAGAATATAGGGGGGTGGTAATTGTCTCGTAATACTAAACACATTCCTGCGGAGGGAGCTGGTAGGAACGTTGGGTTGCTCGGTCAATGGCCAGGGTCAACGGCGGCGTGGTGTATTCCGCAAATAAGGCCGACTGTAAGGGCGGGCACAAGCCGGCGTGAGTAGGTTAAACGTTGAGTTTTATAAGGGCACCACGGGGTGACCAGCCCCTCCCCACCCAGCCCCACCCTCCCCACCCAGCCCCTCCCCACCCTCCCCACCCAGCCCCTCCCCACCCACCCACCCAGCCCTCCCCCACCCTCCCCTCCCTACCCAGCCCCACCCTCCCCACCCATCCCCACCCTCCCCTCCCCACCCAGCCCCTCCCTCCCCACCTAGCCCCTCCCTGCACGACGGATGGACGGACACAATAATCCCCTGTGGGCTGGTGTAACCAGGAGGTTCCTACCAGTACTATACCTTAAGGCAGCTGAGCCTGTCAGATGCCAATGGCACACAACAGGGTAGTGGGGCCCTCGGTAATACAGGGTGTTTCAAAAAAATGTTAGCACTTATATGGGACTATCGTTTTTAATGGAACAAGAACGGATAATACACTGTAACATAATAACAAATGTCATGTTAATAGCTTCAAAAAGTCAAAGAGTCTCTCCACTTGTTCGCCATCATTGTCAACGCGTGCCTGGAATCTTCTCCAGGTGGTCTCCAGAGCCCGGAGGCACATTTCTTGTGTTATTGTTGCAAATTCTCAGAAGTATAGAAAGTGTTTTGAAGCACCCTGTATATTGGTTACGCCAGGCAGATGAGCCTCACGTAGGTCAATGCCATCGATAAACAGTGCGAAAGGAGGGAGCTGCAACCTGGTGTGGCCATAATGAAATTGTGATTTTGAATTTGGCTCCGTGAAGCCAAGCGGCCCATGGGGCTTTACGGAAGACGCGACTCCAAACACAAGCGGCTTCGATACTTGTGATATAGGAATCTAGGGCTGGGGAAGGGACTTCCACTGTTCTGCGATAGATCTGAATGGATTCTTAGTCACGTGGCACCGATAGTACAATTTGGATAAAACATCAGGGGAGGGGAAATGTTTTTTGTTTATTTAAGAGCAGAAGTGATGCTCCAGTGATGGCAGTCAAACGTTTCTGTGATTAAAAAAAATCAATTAAGCGTCATAAATCTGTCGGACAGCCCGTACAATAAAACCGAGTTGCCTATCGATGAAGAGCTAATGTATCCGTTGGGTTGCATCTGGATTTTTCTGTTTGCGCATAGTCACTTTAAGATGTTTTCTTGTTCAGTTTTTTGTTTGTTGCGGTTGCACCCGATTCAAGAGTCGAATGGCTCACAGGGCTGTACCTAATAACTGAAACTGACAAACATCTGTGTCCTACTGCACTTGTGTGAGAAAAAATAGCTTCGTAACTCATCGGATTCCTCTAGCGTAAAGGAATGTTCTGGTTCTGATCTCCCGTTAAAGTTGTTGCGGCATGCGCGTGTGTGCGGCCAGGTGTACCGCCGCGAAGAGGAGGAGAACGGCGTGGTGCTGGATCCGCTGAAGGCGACGCACTGCGTGCGCGGCGTGACGGGCCGCGAGGTGTGCCACTACTTCTGGGACGTCGAGTACCGCAACGACTGGGAGAGTAAGACCCGCAAAGGTCGAGCGGGCGGGCGGGCAGCCGCACGCCACGCCAAGCGTGACACAGAAGCAGCAGCAGCAGCACTTGCCCCTTGTTCCAGAGGTTAAACTAAAAACCGAATGATAATAGTTTTTTTTCTTCTTGGTTCTTTCGGTAAAGTCACGTAGAAGGGAAGTAATAAAATAATAAAAATAAAACATAATAAAATAATTCAGCGTCGCCTCGACAGACCTGGTTTTCACCTGAGGACGGCTGCTTGCGTTGTGGCCGAAACGTCGTGAGAATTATTTTATTATGTTTTATTTTATTATTTCCATTCTACGTGACTTTACCGAAAGAACCAAGAAGAAGTAATAGCATCTTTCGAATTGTGGTTATTGGGGTTATTGGTTTGTCACCTTTCCAGTTTTAATCGCTGAACCTTCTTTACTTTGCAGCAACCATCGAAGGCTTGAACGTTGTGGAAGTTCTGTCAGCGAACACACTGCTCGTCCACCAAACCCACAAGGTACTCGTTTGTAGAGTAATTCTATAAACATTGAAACAATTTTCATAGCCAAAAGTTGAATGTCGCCAGAAATATTAGCAGCCCAATCAATCCTCGTTATCTTCTCCGAAGCCATTCAACTTGTGCGATACAACAATGTCGTGGTTTCGTTAATTTTTTTCCCTAATTGGCCGAATAAGGGTTTTCCCATTCTTACTCGACTCATCTTTTACTCTGGGCACTTTTTAAAAATTCAAACCTGTCACCATTAACGAGTAAACGTCTTGGTGTGCTTTTATCTGAAATCGTGTGCTGGTATCTGTTGCCCTTTGCCTTGCCGGCACCAGTGCAATGTTAGCGTGTACGTGTTGGGTTATATAAAAAACTGTGTTTACGTGCAGCTTTTATTGTTTATGCTAGAGCAGTGTCGCCGCCGAAGTGTTGCCAAATCACGAGTGCTCGTCGGCAAAAAAGTTTGCGCTCGGTTAAGACTAGTTTGATCGTGCACCTCCTGAAGTCTGACGTTTCACTGGCAGAGTTTGCCAAAACCTTGGAGTTGTTATTGAGCCACAACTAGCAGCACCACATACCTCTCATCTGTGCAGCGTCAGAACTTACTCCAACAGTGTGTAGACAATATGGGGGGATCTTTGTCTTTTGTGTGTAAGCATGCGAGCACACGTGAATGCGAGCGAGAATATTCACGTGTATACTGTGGATATATATTTCTGTGAGTATACGTGTGTGAGGAGCTAATTGAGTGTCTTGATGGAACTTAAACGTGCGCTTTTATGTGTTTCTGCGGCCATCTGGAACGCTCTTCCTTCTGATATTAGTTTCAGTTTCAGTTTAATTTATTAGTATTTACCCTGTGAGCCATTTGGCTCTGGATTTGGGTTCAACCGCAACAAACATTAAAATTACAAGATACACCTAAAATTCGTTGTACACAAATCTGAACATCACATACGTATTTTCTTGTGGATTTCACACCTGATGATGATTGCTTGTGTTGCAGTCGAAACGTCGTGAGAAATTTTTTTATATTTATATTATTTTATTATTTCCCTTCTACGTGACTTTACCGAAAGAACCAAGAATATATCATATACGTAAACAATAAAATTCTACAGAAAAAGCACAACCCGTCCATGCTGTGTACAGAAAGTGCAAAAAATTCAATTTCGATGTTTGATCCCAATAACAATCATAATACAGATTAAAAATGTAAGTATAAATCTATACTAAATCAAAAAAATCGGGCCAAACCAAGCCCCTCTAAAACTTACTAAAACAATGCTATATATAGCCACCTGAGCTATGCACCTTTAAATGTAGATGGAAAATGCATTTCGTTAGAACCACTTTTTGTGTTCAGCTTGTTTTCCTTCTACTGCACCTCCGATTAGCACGGTTGGCTACGTACGGTGCGAAAGAAGTTCAACATAGATTCATGAACACCATGGGAACCTCATTTGCCAGTAAAAATATGATAATTGGTTTTTTACCCTTCTATCTGGCAACAAAACTGACACCTTTTTACAAGGAGTCATGTTTGCATAGACCGCAATACCTGCAGTCAGCTTTCCTTAGAGCCTAGCCTAGGCTCTAAGGAAAGCTGTCTCGGGTGTGGACCAATCAACTTCAAGGACAGTGCGCATTATCAGAGTTATGTCTTTTGTTTGTATTATGACTGCAAGTATTGCGGTCTATGCAAACATGACTCCTTGTAAAAAGGTGTCAGTTTTGTTGCCAGATAGAAGGATAAAAAAACAATTATCATAGATTCATGAAGTTAAGACATTTCGCAGGAATTTTCTAATCTCGAATAACAGTCGCGTGCCGCTTTCGGACAAGCAACAGGGGGAAGCGCAACACACGCCAAGTGAACTCATGTCCTGCGCACCTCCCGTCGTCCCCGTGCCGCCCGCAGCGCGTGTGGCCGGCCTCTCAGCGCGACATCCTCTTCCTCTCGTGCCTCAAGAAGGTGCCGGTGCCGCCCGTGTCGTCTGCTGCCCCGCCGGGTTGCCCCGGCGGTGCCAACGATAACGACGGGGGCGTCGGCGCGCACGACACGTGGATCACGTGCAACTTCTCCATCGATCACCCCGCGGTGCCCGTGACGAACCAGGCAATCCGCGCCAAGATCAACGTCGCCATCATCTGTCAGACATTTGTGGACCCACGTGCTCCGCCCGACGGCCACCTTCGGGAGCACCTGCAGTGCCGGATCACCTACGTGGCCAACGGTAAAAGTGGTGGGGAGCATGCGCGGGGATCCAAAGAAAATGTAACGAATTTATGGGTTTATATTCTTGGTTCTTTCGGTAAAGTCACGTAGAAGGGAAATAATAAAAGAATAAAAATAAAACAATAAAATTCTCCCTTCTACGTGACTTTACCGAAAGAACCAAGAATATGAATCCCTGCAGTCATGAAAGCTTTCAATCGACATTTTATTTAAAACTGCTCTGATCAAATATACCATCACGAGACTGTGAAGGATGGTAATACATTCAGAAGGCCTTCTTCTGGCAGTGGATAGCTGATGATGGTGATGATTAACTGATTCATTTTCTAACCCAACTTCAAACAAGATATCACAATTGACCTACGTAGCACGACGTTTCGACTGCAACACAAGCAGTCATCATCAGGTGTGAAATCCACAGCAAGAATATGAATCCCTGCAGTCACGTGTGTGCAATCGTTGGTGCCCGGGCTGAAACGATTGTCTCTTGAGACTCGAACCCAGGATCTCAGCAGTGCTGGCTCCGTGCGCCTCCATCGCATTTAGCCCCCTTAGACACTTCACTGGCCTTCAGTGAGTTTGTATCATTCCGCAGCGTTGCTGTTTTGCGGATGTGGTGTGCCGTGGCGATGGAATGCGCTGTCGGCATTTACGAATGTTAGCCACCTCCCCTGGCGACCGTGCCGGTCTGAAAATGAGTTGGATAACGACATTGCCATTCGAGTTGTCTAATTCGACATTGTTGCCATTTTGTGGATGTGGGTGGCACCGTGACGTTTGTGCGGAGGTGACCGTGTCTTTGTGCGCGCGTGTGTGTGTGTGCGCGTGCGTGTGCGCGCGTGTATGTGTGTGTGCGTGCGTGTGCGTGTGTGTGTGCGCGTGTGTTTGTGTGCGTGCGTGTGTGTGTGCGCGTGTGTGTGTTTGTGTGTGCGCGCGCGTGTGTGTGCGCGTGTGTGTGTGCTTGCGTGTCCGCTGTCCCACAGTGAACCCGGGGGGTTGGGCACCAGCATCGGTGATGCGTACAGTGGCGAGGAGAGAATACCCACGCTTCCTGCGGCGCTTCACCTCTTACGTGCAGGAGAGGACACGTGACAAGTCGGTCATGCTCTAGCCGGGTGAGTTGCATGCACATACAGCAGACAAAGACCCCAGTATAGCCTTAATAGGCTGTTGGGGCAAGTGCTGTTAGCGAGCACCTATGAAGGCCCGCACGGCACCCGAGGGGGTGGATGGACAGCACCATGCTCGGCCGCCTTTGTCTCCTAGTGGTGACATTTACACACCGCACCAGGTACTCATTTGAGGCCGAGTCGACCTAGAGGAGGCCCAGGACCGGCTCGGATAATCGTCACCGGTGTTGGCTGTGAGCGGGAATCGAACACGGGTCGCCGGGTTTCGTAGCGCCACGCCCTCACCATTGCACTACCGCTCCCCGTACGCATATTTGTACCATCTTATTTGACAGGTACTAGTCTATTTTACCGAGTTGTTGACATCCCCAGCGTTTAACAGTGCTGATATTGCTTGGTTTTGGAAGCCAACACCGGCCGTAATTCTTGCCGAGGTGTATCAGCTGTACCTTACTTTCTAGCCCCACCCACCTTCCCTTCTAGCCCCACCCACCTTCCCCTCTAGCCCCACCCACCTTCCCTTCTAGCCCCGCCCACCTTCCCCTTCTAGCCCCGCCCACCTTCCCCTTCTAGCCCCGCCCACATTCCCTTCTAGCCCTGCCCACCTTCCCCTTCTAGCCCCGCCCACTTTGCCTTCTAGCCCCGCCCACCTTCCCTTCTAGCCCCGCCCACCTTCCCTTCTAGCCCCGCCCACCTTCCCTTCTAGCCCCGCCCACCTTCCCTTCTAGCCCCGCCCACCTTTCCTTCTAGCCCCGCCCACCTTCCCTTCTAGCCCCGCCCACCTTCCCCTTTTAGCCCCGCCCACATTCCCCTTCTAGCCCCGCCCACCTTTCCTTCTAGCCCCGCCCACCTTCCCCTTCTAGCCCCGCCCACCTTCCCTTTTTAGCCCCGCCCACATTCCCCTTCTAGCCCCGCCCACCTTTCCTTCTAGCCCCGCCCACATTCCCCTTCTAGCCCCGCCCACCTTTCCTTCTAGCCCCGCCCACCTTCCCCTTCTAGCCCCGCCCACCTTCCCCTTCTAGCCCCGCCCACCTTCCCTTCTAGCCCCGCCCACCTTCCCCTTCTAGCCCCGCCCACCTTCCCCTCTAGCCCCGCCCACCCTCCCAGTCTCTGACTGCCACATTTAGATAAGCTCCTCCCCCCACCCCTAAACCAGTGTATAAGATCTTGTCTCTTGGATTTCTCTTCACTTGATACAGTAAATTTGGCTGTGACGGTCCCACCTGAAGACGGAGACTTGTGTTTGCCTCCGAAACGTCGTGATTAAATTTAGTCATTTGTTATTAATTTATTTCATTATTATTTTTTTTACCTACGTGACTTTACTGAAAAAACCTAAGAGTGTGAATCCTTGCAGTCACGAAAGCTTCAAATCTAGAATTAATGTCTGTGCCTCTACTCCAGTGCCTGAAATGCAGTCGCTGAGATTTTGCACGTTTAGCGTTGTGCTTCCGTTCACGCCACTCAGTTGAAGTGTCACGTTCCCGACAGCGCTATCCATTACTTGGCGACCGTGACCAATCCCTCTCCTTTACAACGCAGACCCGGGGTTAGTCATTGGATCTTGTGGTGATACATCAGGCAGGGACATCTGAACCATTTGTTTGGATTCCTTGTGACAGCAGATGTCTTTTCGATTTAAAGCTTTCGTGACTGCAGGGATTCATCTCCTTGGTTCTTTCGGTAAAGTCACGTAGAATGGAAATAATAAAATACTAAAAATAAAACATAATAAAATAATTCTCACGTTTCGGCTGCTTGCGTTGTGGCCGAAACGTCGTGAGAATTATTTTATTATGTTTTATTTTTATTATTTTATTATTTCCATTCTACGTGACTTTACCGAAAGAAGCAAGAAGATGAGCAGATGTCTTGTTTTTTTTATTCTCTTTCGCAGAAGCACCTGGCTATCGATGATTCCCACTGCAGAGGTGAATGTGTTGGAAATTGGGGGGGGGGGGAAAACATCCTTGTTTCTCTTTTAAATCTACTTACAGTATTCGCTGCTAAAGTATACAAATCTAACACTTGGGTTATTTGTATATATTTTTCGTATTTTCGAAAAGCCACTTTATACGTTCACTAAAGGGAGAAATGCCGAACAAGTTTCGTATTTACGCGTTTGCATTTTAGGCGAGCCTAGGCTGTGGATGTTGCCGCGTCCGTGTCCGCCGCGCTTGTGTTCGGCTAGTGGAGGAGCGACCTGAGGATTTGCCATACTCGTTTTCATTGCACTGTTTGGGAGCGGCAGCGCGCCTGCCCGCCCGCCTGCCTATCGTAAACTACCGCACCGTGTGCGTAAGCGTGCGGTGCCACCTAGCGCATACCCGTCAACCCATGCGGTTTACCCGTATTCTTGTACAGGGAAATTGAGCGTGTAAAAAAAAAATGTGTTGTCTATTTGTTTGTGATTTTTTTCGCTTGTGATTTGACTTTGCAGGATGAATGTTGAGATTGATAAGGGGGCACGGGGTGACCAATGAGGTCCGAATTGGTCTGTAATAAGGTCGGCACTGATCAGGGGTTGACAGGTTTGCGAGCGGAACCGTCACACCTAACCCCAGTGGGTGTCGTCGTCAAGTTGACGAGCGATTGCTTAAAAAAAAAACTACAGCTGTGACAGACGTTAAGAATTTTAAAGTGTGTACATATACTGTATTTTATTTTCTATTTTGCCCAAAGTGGTCGAGAATGTATATTTTTTTGGTGATGGTTCAACGTTAACACCGGGTTTGATTAAATAAAGGGTACAATGTAGATGCAGGTCAAGACGAGTGTTTTATTTCACGTCACCTCTAACCTTGTTTCTCACGCCAACCTTGCAGCCTTGTTCTGCCTTTATTTTCCCAGGCAGGGCTCATGCCACCACCACGTTTGTTGGCCGGTTTATTCCAGATTGTTGGGTTTTGTGGCACAAAAAGATTGTGCGGCATTGGAGCACAAGGTGTTCAATTTGGAGTACAGCAAGGTCTCGGAGTACGTGGGGGGTGAGGTTCTCTGTGTACCCCCGCGTAAGCGCGAATTCACGCAAGTTGGGGGTGTTCGCCTATACGAGTGTAGATAGACAACGTAAGAGTGCATATGAAATGTATATAAATGTACATAAATGTTTAATAAAGTACAATACTGTACAGTCAATGATTCACTAATCATCGGTAGCATCCAGGTCAGAACACAGTTTTTCTGGACTCGTTTCTTGCACGGGCTATAGTTACACGCCGTCAGATACACATTCACGCAAAAGTGGTGGGGCGGGGGGGGGGGGGAGATTTGACTCGCTTGCCGCGACGTGTGTGTAGTGATAGTACAAGTCACAAGTGTGAATCGGGGTCGGTCGCGTATAAGCGGATCTGCGTACTCCTCGCCCCCATCTTCTGAGCCCGCATGCTCTGAGACCTTACTGTATTGTGTTTCATTGTTACTAAAGAGCGATAGGCAAGTTGTATCACTGCGGTTTTGCGCCAAGTGTACATTTTTATGACTCAAGTTGGATTCCCTGCCACGGATAACGTCACAGCACGAACCCGCACCGACCAGCGTGCAGTGAAGGTTAAACAACTCCCACGCACCAACGTGGCATGGGGGGAAAGACTTTATCTGCCATTGGAATGACAAAGGGTCTTAACATTATTATATTGATTTAAAGCTTTCGTGACTGCAGGGATTCATCTTCTTGGTTCTTTCGGTAAAGTCACGTAGAATGGAAATAATAAAAATAAAACATAATAAAATAATTCTCACGACGTTACGGCCACAACGCAAGCAGCCGTCCTCAGGTTGCTTACGTTGTGGCCGAAACGTCGTGAGAATGATTTTATTATGTTTTATTTTTATCATTTTATTATTTACATTCTACGTGACTTTACCGAAAGAACCAAGAAGATTATTATATTGTTCATAATTAAATAATTAAGGTGAACAAGTCCAAAGAAAAATCCTAGCGTCGTGAAAAGTGGTTGTACACTTGGTTTTCGTTTTCACAGAAACGCCAACTTAAATCTGTGCCTTCCACTTTAAGCATTCCACTTGTGATATTACCAATTGTCACTTTGCCTTTTTAAACAGCCATTTCAGCCCTTGTACGTACAAGGACGGCCTACAACCGATTCACTGATCTTGTCAGAGCTTGGAAGCTGAGCAGTTTTGGAGCCTGCGTAGCGCTTGGATGGGTGACCAACATGAATAAAACAAGTGTTGTTGGCTGCTGCAGGGCGATGCTATCAGGAAGGACAGTGGCGAAAAATCCATGGTTGTACTATACTCTTAGGTTTCTTTCGGTAAAGTCACATAGGTAAAAAAATTAATGAAAGTAATATAAATAAAATAATAAATCACGACGTTTCGGAGGCAACCTCACTTGAGACAGTGAATCTAGCTGTGACGGTGCCACCTGATGACGGAGACTTGTGTTGCCTCCGAAACGTCGTGATTTTTTATTTTATTTCTATTATTACTTTTATTAATTTTATTTTGATTTCACTTTTATTAATTTTTATTTTTTACCTACGTGACTTTACCGAAAAAACCTAAGAGTATGAATCCTTGCAGTCACGAAAGCTTCAAATCTAGAACCATTATTGTTCTACTATGCAGCAACATCTATGCTTCACACCTGCACCAACCCACACTGACCAGCAAAAATTACAATCAAATAATGTCCACAGTCTGCATGGCATGGGGTGGTCCTGGTCCTCACCAAGTAGTGGATTGATAAAAGGGGTTATACTGGTAGGAACCACCTGGTTCCACCAGCCCACAGGGGATTATTGTGTCCGTCCGTCGTTCATCCAAAAATAGGTGGGGCTGGGTGGAGAGGGGCTGGTCACCCCGTGGTGCCCTTATCAAACTCAACGTTTAACCTACTCACGCAGGCTTGTGCCTGCCCTCACAGTCGGGCATATTTGCGGAATACACCACGCCGCCGTTGACCCTGGCCATTGACCGAGCAACCCAACGTTCATACCAGCTCCTTCCGCAGGAATGTGTTACACGTACGCATTAAATGACACGCGAGTTTGGAGTGCCCAAGAACCCATGCAAAATTAACCTGTAGCATCATGCACTGCACCATTTTTTTTGGTGGAAAAAAATGTTGTTTGGAATTAACGTTGCAGCACAGAGGGAACGAGTAGCAAGTCTGGGAACAAGCCGGTGTGCTCACCTGTAAAAATGACAACGCACAGATATCCATTTGTGTTTTAATTTCTTTACTTTGTAATGCAAATATGCACAGGAGGCGGTCTGGAATTTCCAGAATTGCATCAGTTTTTGTTGCGTTGTTGCGGGCGCAAAGAATGACACCCGCGGATTGCGCAGACGTGAACTCCGCCAACACTTGTCTCTGCGGGTGGTAGCTGCACCCCCCGAGTTGGAGGATTCCTGGAAAAACCCGAGCTGGCTCCAAGTAGTTTGGTAACTTTTAAATAGTGGTGTTTGCACAAAAGGTAAGGGTAGGGCGGGCAGATGTGATTGAGATTCTAGAGGCCGGGTTCCACACATTAAGCGATCGGTTGCACAACCAAATTGACGCTCGAAAATCGTCGCAGCTTACATCATCGCTCGCAACTGCTTTCGTCTCCATCGGAGTGAGGAGCTGCGCGAAAAAAGGACGCGTCAAAAGAAGCCAAGGTGTCCGCCCGTGCCCTTGACCGAATCGCGCCATCCAAATCGAGATTGTAACGACCAATCATAGTTCACAAATGTGCATCACACAATGAAATGCGTTGCTATAAATTGCTCGGCAGATCGCTCGAAAGAACCGTCCACTGTCAGCAACGGCTTGCGTGACTGCCTGCAGAGACGTCGACATAAGAGCGATTCGGCTGCATGCAGCCAACCAAGTTGGCCTTCATCCTGTGACGAATGGGGCCACTGGAATGCCACCGTTCGATGCTGCAACCAAGTTGCAAAACTGATCGTGGAGGCGTGGACCCGGCACTACATCATCCCACGGGGGATTCAAGATCGCCGCGTGCGTTCACGAGGCGACATCGCACAAAAAGCCCTCTTTGGCCACGGCAAATCATTTACGGTTGGCGCGTTTCCCCTTCACAAACCGGTCAGAAGCAACGTATTCATTTTTAAAAGTACACCAGTCATCAAAGTTACCCATGATACGCGTCCGAGATGCACTGCTATGCTCGGCACATGGAATGACCCCAACCCTGGCGATCGATTTTTGATAACGAGCGTCACGGCGTGTGCCCTCTTTGCCACCCGGCTACGCAACCGTTGGGCTACGTAAGCCACCCGTCCTACATAACCGCTTCTGCACAAGTCTTGAGCCGATGTTCCCTTTAGCGCAATCAATCAGCCAATCTTGCCTCGGTTTTTACATCGTGCTGAGCAGCTCTCCGATGCGTTGAGGTTGTGTACCGCGTGCAGTTTGGGATGGCCATCCACGAATTTGTATTTGGATGGAGAAATGGTAATAAATGTGGAAGAACGCACTGTGTGGTGGGTTGTTGAGAATGTCAATTTTGAGACCGTTCCGTTCGTGTTTATTTCCAACAGAGACACCAGGATGCTGATTCAAGCGACATTCTGGGGTTTAAATCGCTCGGGATGCATTGATTTCCCGCCTCCGCCCCCACCCCTCCTGATTCCACACAGTTTAACGAGTGGTTACAATGTGGTTACCATTAGGTTAACACGTCACTTATATTTTGCCCTGGTAGTGCGAGTAGAATCATGGCTAAAGTATATTTAAGAAGCAATCACGTTGAGGAAATAGCGAATTCGTAAATCCACATGTTGATGTACATATCGTAGTAAAATCATGTCAACATTTTAAAACCAAATTGTGATATGCCTATTGGGGTGTAACAATTCACTCCCTCCTAAGCAATTAATTTTAAAAAGTGGTGAATGTAGCAAGCTCAAGTGGCAGGAGCGGGGGTGGGGGGGGGTGTAACATAACTTACAACGTACACACACAAAACAACAGATTCTCGTGCACATCGTTTGCCGCATGTATTATGAGTATAAGAATGTATTAAGCAACGAATGTATGCACTGTTACACACACAACTCCGATTCACTCGTAAACCTGTTGTGTAGAGCCCTTTTTCAATCCACTGCTGGACAAAAGCCTCTGCAGGCGGTGTCGGTAATGGGTAATGGGGGGGGGGGGGGTTGTTTGCCCTATCGTTGCCATGCTGGTCACAGTACAGGTTGGGAAAGGAGAGAGGGGATATGGCCCAAGATGGCTTTGGATATCACTCGCCACGAATGTTTGTCTACGTCCGAGAATTGGACTCTGGGTCGCCGTATTTGCAAAGCGGTGCGCCTGGTGTCATTTTAATTGTCGCGATGTGCGGCGCTGCCATCACAGCTGCCTGGCGTTGTCTTGTTCCCAAGGTGGCGCTCTCGCCTTGGCCAGGCGCTGAGCCTCGGGCCGTGATGGTGACGACGACGACTTAGCTGCAGTCCTTGTGGCACATTCATTTACCACGTCCGTGACAATTTACCCTGACGCATCTGCATTAGAGGAAGTAAACGACAAGAGACCAATTTTGATTTAAAGCTTTCGTGACTGCAGGGATTCATATTCTTGGTGCTTTCGGTAAAGTCACGTAGAAGGGAAACAATAAAATAATACAAATATAAAACAATAAAATTCTCACGTTTAGACTTTTTTCAAATTTTCTTGCTGTGGATTTCACGCCTGATGATGATTGCTTGTATTGGCAGTCGAAACGTCGTGGGAATTTTGTTGTTTATTATTTTTATTATTTTATTGTTTCCCTTCTACGTGACTTTACCGAAAGAACCAAGAATATAAAGAGACCAGCTGGACACAGGAGTAGCCCCCATGAGTGAAGTAAATACAGGTAGGAACAACAGTTCCACACTGCCCACCAGGGATTATTTGTCTGTCGTGCATAGCCACGCCCTCGATTTGTATTTCAGAGCGCTTCGGGAGGGCTCAGCACCACGTGACGCGCCGCCCCACATAGCTTGCGCCACGTGACACGGATCGCACGAATGCGCTGTCCAACCAAGCTCCTACCTGCCCACTCCGAAGGAACGTGTTAACCGCTTGTGTGGTTTCATGCCATCTCATCAAGGTGGATGCAGAGACGACACCAGGCCCTAACGCTGCACAGCCTCTCCTCGCGCGCCGGTCCAGCTTACGAGGTTTATCAATCGACATCCGTGGGAATTTCACATTTATTTATTTTTTTACATCAGATTGGCAAATGATTGCTTAACGTAAAGAAACAAGTCCGTACCTTGTTGACACGAGGGGGCGTGGGATCGGAACGCGGATGATGCAGTGGGTTCGCTGTGGTGGTGAGCACCTTATGCAAAACTTTTGGAGGGGGAGTTAACGGACCGGGCAGAGGTTTACTTGAAGAGCCCTAATCTTGTAGAACGATATTGGCCCAGACGGCTGTAGACCAAGTAAGGTTTCTGGCCTATGTACACATTTCTGCGTTATCCCCGTCGCAAAGCGCGCTTGTTCTCCCCAGACACTTGCTCCCGTTTCCCACTGGCACATCAGAGCCAGCGCAGGACCTTTGCGGTGAGGCAGGTGGGTTTTCCCCCACTGGCTATTTGCCGCCGATATGCCGAGCTTACAAGACAAAAGTGAATCTGGCTCAGCGGGGACAAGCAGGGCAGGGATGGGTCTAACGGTGCGTTGGCCGCGTGTAGACATCGGTACGTGGAGACCAACGCAGTGCATCACCCGCGACATTTTACACGGAGTGTCAACTTTCGATTACACTGGTCAACAAAAAAAAATACATTTTTTTTTCTGGCCTGGACTTTGCTGATTCCAAATCTGATCTCAGATTTGCTCTATCACATCTCATTTTTATACTATCGGCATACCCCATTTTAATTGATTTTATCCGAAATTAACTCTGTCACTTATGATTGCAAGTTGTTGCGGGTCAGTGACTGCTTTAGTGTTGAAATATGGCGCTGTATTTTTAGGATAGTGTGTTTATAATATCATTTTATGTAAATATCCACATTTATTTAATATTTTTCTCGTGACGTTTTTATTGAAAATGCAATATTTGATATCTCAAAAACCTGATGTGATAGACAAAAACTGACTTGCCAGATTTGGAATCAGCACCCCAAAATTACCTTCAAACCGTTGGAACACCTTATGCCAGAAACAAGTGTGTTGACCGGTGAATTATTGCACGTTGACATCGGTGGCACGGGTCCTGGCGCAGCTCGGATACCAAGTGGGAAAAGAGGCATCTGATTTCCCCCCATGCGAAAACGACCAAACATCATCTCGACAAACAAGAACCCCTCCCCCTCTTGCACGAGAGAGAGAGCCCCTAAATTCACTCTCCAGATAAATAAAGTACTGTTGTCATTATTACTGTAATACTAAACCCTCCCCCGCAAGTCGCCGGTGCGATCTTTTGAGAGTTCGCTCAACCCACCCCACCCCCACCACCCCCCCCAAAGACGACGCTCAACTATCTCCATCGTCGTCGTCGTCGCTGGCGCCGGCGTCGGGGTACATCTCCGTGGGGATGTCGGCGTCCGCGTCGGCGCCGCCCACGCGCTCGATTGTCACCAGCCCGTGGAAGAGCGCGTAGCCCACCATGGCGCCCACCGCCACCAGCAGCGACAGCAGCTGGTTCCGCAGCTTGTGCGGCTCGTGATCCCCCTCGGAAGGCGACGGGGAGCTTGCGGGCTGATTCTGCCGCCGCTGGTGATTCTTGCTCGGTGGGCCGTCTGCGGAAGAGGGAGGTCTGGTCAGTTTAGTCGGTGGGGGCGCTCCGGCAACAACGGTCATACTTTTCGATTTAAAGCTTTCGTGACTGCAGGGATTCATCTTCTTGGTTCTTTCGGTAAAGTCACGTAGAATGGAAATAATAAAATAATAAAAATAAAACATAACAAAATAATTCTCACGACGTTTCGGCCACAACGCAAGCAGCCCGTCCTCAGGTGGAGAGCAGGTCTGTCGAGAAGACAAAGTCTGAATGTGTCTCTGTCTGAATGCATGTGTCTCTGTCTGACTCTGTCTTGTCGACAGACCTGCTCTCCACCTGAGGACGGCTGCTTGCGTTGTGGCCGAAACGTCGTGAGAATTATTTTATTATGTTTTATTTTAATTATTTTATTATTTCCATTCTACGTGACTTTACCGAAAGAACCAAGAAGAACGGTCATACTCGTAGGTTTTCTCGGTAAAGTCACGTAGGTAAAAATAAAATTAATAGAAGTAATAATAGAAATAAAATATTATGACTTCTATTAATTTTTATTTTATTTTTTACCTACGTGACTTTACCGAGAAAACCTAAGAGTATGAATCCTTGCAGTCACGAAAGCTTCAAATCTAGAAACAACGGTCATCCCTCGCAGGGCGGCAGCGGCTTTTGGCTTAAGCCATCGGACAAAGGCGGTCGCTGCATCACGCGCTTTCAGGTGCACTTCCGCGGCCGTCTGGAACGCCCTCCCGATATTAGGAAGCCAATGAAGCTATGCACTTTAAAATCATCAAGAGTGCCAAAACGAATTTCTTTAGAACTGCTATTTTGTTTTTAGTTTGGGGTCCTTCCCCCACACCTCTGATAAATACGGTTGGCTAAATACTACATACGGTGCAAAAGATATTTAACATACAACGGGAGGAGCGACGCACAACAACTACAACAATAGGCGGAGCGTAGGGTGGTGCATCTGCCATTGACCGGCGTTAGCGCCAGGATTGCGTTTGGAATAATGTTCGGTCTGCCGATTTGCTGCAGCCCTATCTCAGCAATGAGTCGGCGTTATTTGGCGCCATCCCGCACACATTCCACCCACCTCTCCCGCCCTGCCCTTACCCTGCTCTTACCCTGCTCGTCCTGTGGGAAGTACTGCGCCAGTATGCGCTGGCAGAAGCGGCACAGGTTGTCCAGCCCCTTGAGGTGCTGCTGCAGCTTGGCGCTGGGCAGCGGCGCGAGCAGCAGCGGAGCCACGTGTCCCAACACCACCGCGTCCAGCGTGGTGGGCCTACGCACACGGGGCGAGGCGGGGAGGGGTCAGTGAGCGACAGAGGTCGCAACCGGGTACCCGATACCCGTACCCTACCCGATACCCGGCTACCCGTTTGCGACCCTGGTGCGGCCGGGTACGGGTACGGGTAGACCGTGAGTCACTGGTGAGTAACCGTTTGTCACTCATTTCCCAACGTCTTGTCTCTTCTCACAATTCAAGTTCCTAGAATCAACCCACCCGCGCCTGCAACATGGCTTCATTCCAGAGGTCGCAATCAGGTACCCGATACCCATACCCTACCCGTACCCGGCCGGGTATGGGTAGGGTACGGCCGGGTACGGGTATGGAATCAAAACCCGTTTGCGACCTCTGGTGAGCGACCATCTGGAGCAGGAGAGGTGTACGGCAGCCTCCTCGTGCTTCTACTGCTCTCGTATGGCGCGGCAGTTTGGGTTGCCACGTGTCCTGCTTTTCCCAGGATCGCCTCTTGTCGAGGTAGCTGCGCGTCTTTCCAGGACATTAAAACGTTCCGTTGTTTGCGAGCCGGCTTACTAAGAGGGCAAGTGGCAACCGCCGATTGCAAGCAAACCTGCTGCCGATATAAGCACACTCTCACTTGATACAGCTATCGTGCTGTGACGGTTCCTCCTGAAGATGGAAGCTTGTGTTGCCTCCGAAACGTCGTGATTTTTATTTTATTTTTATTTTACTTTTATTTTTATTTTTTACCTACGTGACTTTACCGAAAAAACCTAAGAATATGAATCCTTGCAGTCACGAAAGCTTCCAGTCTAGAAATAAGCACACCGCCTTTCTCCCACTGGGCGTGCTTATACGTCCAACATTCGACTGCGCCACACGAGCCGACCACTTACGAGTCGCGGAAAAAGTATTCCTTGTCACCCAGCGTGTGCGACAGGAGGCTGAGGCAGTCCATTGCCTCCGCGTAAATCTGGAATCGAGAAAAAAAAAACACAAAAAATGCAGACGCAATAATCATGAGCACACGGTTTGCTACGTACGCCGCGAAAGAAGTTCGACGTGCATGCGTAGACAACGTAGGGGAGAAATATCCGCCTATTTTTAAATCCTTTATTTTAAGTTCACTTGCTTGCGCGCTTACGACCGTGCAAATCTTTCGGTCGTTTTTTAACCCACTTCCCGTGATCCAATCGAGCTGACATTTTGCACACAGACTCGTTGTGCGTGACAATTTATTTTCGTGAAAAAAATATTTCCAAAATTTTCCACTTTTTAGGAAATTTATTTTTTTCATATTTAATTTAAAATACCAATGTGATAAAAATGAAACTCTTACTCAAGAAAAACTGAAATGAATAATAAAATAAAACCGATGCCACGCATATATAGGATTTATAGTGAAAAACTTTGTTTTTACGGGTAAATTTTTTTAACTCGCACAACGCAACACACGGTCCTGAAAACGAGAATTTTACTGCCATTTAGAAGACGAAAAGATAGCAACAAATGCTTTTTTGACTTGGCCGCAGACTATCATCTGGAACGCGCCAACATGCCATCAGATCTCGTAAGCTAAGCCGGCTTGAGCCTGGACAGCGCCTGGATGGGTGACCACCAAGCACGCCAGGTTGCCTTAGGCAGCTGCAGGGGGCTGTGCTAATTCGTAACGAACAAGAGGGAGGTGCGGCAAATTCCACTGCACTGTACTATGTGTGCTCCCCACCTTCGCCAAGGTGAAGTACGCTTGAACAATCCCCGCGACCCACAGGGCACGGGGGGGGGGGGGGGGGCCCTTCTCCAACGGCGGGATTGACAAAAGGGGGCTTTTCGATTTAAAGCTTTCGTGACTGCAGGGATTCATCTTCTTGGTTCTTTCGGTAAAGTCACGTAGAAGGTAAATAATACAAATTTTGCATAAGAAAATACAATTATCACGACGTTTCGGCCACAACGCAAGCAGCCAGCCGTCCTCAGGTGAAGAACAGATCTGTCGGAAAGACAGCGTCTGAATTTGCAACAATACCACAAGAAATCATTCAGACGCTGTCTTTCCGACAGACCTGTTCTTCACCTGAGGACAGCTGCTTGCGTTGTGGCCGAAACGTCGTGAGAATTATTTTATTATGTTCGATTTTTATTATTTTATTATTATTTCCCTTCTACGTGATTTTACGGAAAAAACCAAGAAGAAAAAAGGGGGCTTCCTTAACAAACGTACACGTTTTGCATTAACGGGAACACGCGCGACGTTTCAAGTCGCCGGCGCTTGCTCGGCACCAGCGGAACGGCACTACCGCCCGGGGTCCCAATCCATCGTCGTCTCTGCGGGCCGAGTGCGTCGGGGGGGTTTACCTCGCTCTGGACGGCCTCCTCCATGGGGTCGGCGTCCCCGCCGCGCATCTGCCGCAGCCTCTCCTCGGCGGCGTGGTGCATGCGGTTGGGCAGCACGAAGTTGAGCGGGAAGGGGATGGCCTCTCCGTGCCACGGCCGCGTCAGCTCCACGTAGTTCACGGGGTCCAGCCACATGGCGTGCGTCTGCATTGCGTGTACGCGCGTGCTTTACGGACAACTTTTCAGGAACGTGCCCGTTCCATACATCTAAGGATGTATGATACGTTCTCTTTGTGTTCAATCCACGCTTTCGCTCTCTCTCCTCTTGCCCCCCTTCACTGGAACAAACTTCCCCCTCCACATTAAGGGGTCACCTTCGCTCACTAAGTTTCCGCTCCTCACTCAAAACTCACTTATTGTTCCCTCGCCCGCCCTGCAAACCCCCCCTTAATCTCCCCCACATTACCACCACCAACACCACCGTTACTGTTCTCTCTTCACATTCTCATTACATGGCTATCACTCATTGACCCCATTCATTCAATCCATCCGTCGTCATTTACCGTCATCAATTTCGCCGAATTCACGCATCATCACAGATTTGCCCCCATCGCTTCCTCTCTCGGCTATTTCGCTCGCCTCGTCTCCGCCATTGCAATCATACGTTGGTACCGTTGATCATTATTTGTCAAGCGCCTTGCTTTAGGCGCGGTATAAATTACGTTAAGGTAAGTCTGTAATGAAATGATTCTCACGCGCGCGATTAAATGCACGTATCGTGAGCGTCAGATAAAATTCCAATGAAATAAATTGCTTTCCTACGGTTTACTGAACCCACGGAAGACGAGTGCTCATGTGCGGGCGATGCCGCATCAGGGTTTGGCGATAGCATTTCAAAATACATCCGCCACCTTCACGGTTGCCCGACACGTGTCCCGCCAACTTGTACGGCTGGCAATAGAAAACATCCAGAGGGTAACGGTTCAGCCCTGCAATGACGTGTTCACGGCACTGGCGGCATGGGCACCACTTGAGGAAGCCGAAGAGAGACCCTCCGTAAGGGTATTTGGTCTCCTCTTTCTTTGGTGCAATACGCCTGTTTATTTTGTTAATTTTATTATTGTTAAAAGCACTAATTTTGTCAGCACCTCTGACGCGTTCTCATCCGCTGCTACCGGTTTCCTCCATACGCATCACTTTGATGCCGCTGTTCTCTGCCGATGCACCACAGATCTTCCTTGCAGACTAGCCGGCTAACTGGCTACACGCAAACTTTTTTCGTTCAACGAGTGAACATCGATTGAATGACCGAGTCCAACTCTGGGAAAAAGATGCGAGTGTCTTGGTGGGGAGTAGCAAAACCTTAACCACCCACACTGTGTGTCGGTTGACCTTTAACCTCCTCCTAAACCCCTGCAGCATAACAAAAGGCGGCTTAACTTAGCTTCCCTTTTGTTCAGCTTAAATTCCGCCCCCGTTTTAACTCGCTGGCCATCTCCTGCATCATAAAAAATGATGTCACCAGCTTATCGCCCCCCCCCCCCCGCCCGCGGCCCATCCTGGCTCCCCCCCCCCTCTTAACCTATATATAATCTCGTTTATCTTAGAGCTCTCTTCACTTGATAGTCATTTTGCCGCGACGGTTCCACCTGAAGAGGGAAGCTTGTGTTGCCTCCGAAACGTCGTGATTTAATTCAGTTGTTTTTTCATTTACTTTTATTTCATTTTTTAACTACGTGACTTTACCGAAAAAACCAAAGAGCATGCAGTGCACCCATCAACGTGACCGGGTGGATAGATGCGGGGGGGGGGGGGGGGCAGCGGGGGGTTTAAGAAACTTGACCATCGCCAAACTGCCACGTGTGGGGAGATCAAATTGACCCCGACGCCCTCCGAATTTGCGAGTCGGCGTGCGCTGACCGTCACGCCGCGACAGCGTCCCTCGCGGGCAAGCCGGAGCTCGCCGTGCACGTTACACGCCGTTGACGTTACCCCGTCGCCAGAGGTCGCAACCGGGTACCCGATACCCGTACCCTACCCGATACCCGGCTACCCGTACCCGGCCGGGTACGGGTAGACCGTGAGTCACTGGTCATCGTTTGTCACTCATTTCCCAACGTCTTGTCTCTTCTCACAATTCAAGTTCCTAGAATCAACCCACCCGCGCCTGCAACATGGCTTCATCCCAGAGGTCGCAATCAGGTACCCGATACCCGTACCCTACCCGTACCCGGCCGGGTACGGGTATGGGTACCCGTTTGCGACCCTGGTGCGGCCGGGTATGGTTACGGGTAAGGAATCAAAACCCGTTTGCAACCTCTGCCCGTCGCGCGACAGTTACGCGCGTCCTTACGAGCGCAGGCAGGAGCTTCTGCTCGACGAGGGCGATGAAGGCCAGCGTGTCGGCGCCCTCCTTCGGAGAGAGTCCGTAGTCGGCGTTGAAGTTCTGAAACGGCGGCGGAGCCACAAGTCGACTTTTAAAACCGGCGACACGTTACGAGTCGCCGACACGACCTAAGTGCTCTCTAGTCTTGGAAAAAAATAGCTGTACGCTGCCATAGTGGGTGGGCAAGAAAGTAACATTTCAGCTTAGCGGTGTGTCTTCGGGTTGCACCACGTGCTGTACAGCACGATTTTAAATTTGCGGCGAGCTTCTCTGGGATAGTTCTTGCAGAAGCTCCAAGCACGTGGAGTCAGATATCATGCCGAGAAATTCGGTACAAACCAAAAAAACACACCGTAAAGCTCTACAGCAGCACACCTATCACCTTGTGTTCACGCGGTGAAATGGGCACAAATGTGTTATTACCTACAATCCACCACGGCAGTGCGTAGGGCACTTTGTACACTCTTGCTGTACGGCAGCGGACGAGCGTTCATGCAGGGGGCCTCTTGCCTCCCACATCAGCACCGTTTGTTAAACAGGCAACACAATGTTGTTGAAAATCAGAAAAGTCTAAACCAGCTAGAAGCTCGTCTACTTAAGGTCTGCTGGTAAACATTGGGTCCAAAAGGCCCACTGCCTGATGGAACTTTATCATGTACATTTTTTTTCAATTGGTGAAACAAATCCTTATTTGTACTGTTCAGTGGATGAGGCTACGCACTGTACCTGTTTTCTAAGGTGGTCCAGGATTTGTAAGGGTTGAGTTATGACGTCCTTGCCCGACTTGAACACTGGCAGGCTCCCTGCGGGGAAAAACAACAGCAAACGCGTGCGTTGACGTGCGGAACAAAGAGTTTAACAAACAGTAGGAGTAGTAATAGGCTTTTGCGGGCAGTATTATCCATAAGATGTTTTTTTGGGTTCGATCGCGTAAACAAAACATGCCAATTCGTTACTAGTACAGCACACCGGTGTGTTGGAGAGTAAATCCACAATTGTAAAATGTAAATGAGTGTAGGTTTACTCTCCAACACACAACCGGTGTGCCGAACTAGTAACGAATTGTGTTGGAGTGTAAACCCACAATGGTAAATTGTGAATGAGTGTGGGTTTATTCTCCAACACACAACCGGTGTGCCGAACTAGTAACTAATTGTGTTGGAGAGTAAACCCACAATTGTAAATGAGTGCGGGTTTACTCTCCAATACACAACCGGTGTGCCGAACTAGTAACTAATTGTGTTGGAGAGTAAACCCACAATTGTAAATTGTAAATGAGTGTGGGTTTACTCTCCAACACACAACCGGTGTCCCAAACTAGTAACGAATTGTGTTGGAGTGTAAACCCACAATTATGAGTGTGGGTTTACTCTCCAACACACCGGTGTGCCAAACTTGGCATGTTCTGTTTACGTGACAAACCTTACTAATTGGCTGTGTCGGGTGGTGGCGGGTTTCACGACACCACATTTATATTTACGCGATCTAACCTCAAAATATCCCCCTTTATTATGGGAACGCAGAGTCTGAAAACTATTTTTCACTAAGGGGTCTCCGTATTGCGGTGTTTTGACCAATTCATCGTATGTCTTCACGTGCAGGAAACCGCAGAACTCGGGGTGAAAATCCACCACACATACGAGGGGATGATAACAAGCAACAGAGAGACCTGCAGGAACGACGCACGGACCCACTTACTTCCACCGAAACTCAAAGCGCTGCACAAATTGATCGAGGAATGCGTACTGTAATGAATTTAGCACAGTACTCAAGTATTCTTGACCAACTGGTAAATCGTTTTCAAGGACTTACCTAAGTTGGCCAGATAAATCCCTGTCAGTGCACGTAATTAATCAAACGTAATTTTAACTGGGCCGTCGCAGGGTTTGGCCTCTCTCCATGCATTAGATTTACTGTACATTAATATTAATTAATAAATAAATGCATCTTTCGATTTAAAGCTTTCGTGACTGCAGGGATTCATCTTCTTGGTTCTTTCGGTAAAGTCACGTAGAAGGGAAATAATAAAATAATAATTTATTTTATTTTATTATGCTTTATTATTATTATATTATTTCCCTTCTACGTGACTTTACCGAAAGAACCAAGAAGATAAATAAAATTAATTAATTAAGCCGTCTAACCGTGGGATGCCAGATCCGGGCTCAAACCGTTGTGTAGTTCGTAATAAACAACGCAAGCCACAATGTCATTATCGTGTCAACTCGCATGAGCACGCACGGCTATTTCGTTAATCCACTGCTGGATGCGGGGCTCCCCAGCCTGTGCACATCATGGGGGTAATTTGCCCTACATCACCATGCTGGTGAATGCAGAGAGGTGTGTGCATATTCGTGCCGTACAACTGACTTTAGTGTCCAGTATTGTCCTCTGCTGCCCACCATGTAGCCCCAAAGATCCCTATGAAGGCCGGCACGGCACACGAGGGGGGGGGGGGGTAGGGGGGGGTGGCCAGCACCACACCCGGCCGCCTTTGTCTCCCCTGTTGGCGATGTTTTTTTAGGCACCGCACCGGGTACTCCTTCGGCCACGCAGCCACCCCCCAGCAGCCTGTGACACCTGCCTATGCACACGGCGGTCGCACATCCGAATAAGTGCTCCTTCAAAGAAGATTCCATTCTACTCGTCTATCATCGCCAGAGGTCGCAACCGGGTACCCGATACCCGTACCCTACCCGATACCCGGCTACCCGTACCCAGCCGGGTACGGGTACCCGTTTGCGACCCTGGTGCGGCCGGGTACGGGTAGACCGTGAGTCACTGGTGAGTAACTGTTTGTCACTCATTTCCCAACGTCTTGTCTCTTCTCACAATTCAAGTTCCTAGAATCAACCCACCCGCGCCTGCAACATGGCTTCATCCCAGAGGTCGCAATCAGGTACCCGATACCCATACCCTACCCGTACCCGGCCCGGCCGTACCCGTACCCTACCCGTACCCGGCCGGGTACGGGTACCCGTTTGCGACCCTGGTGCGGCCGGGTACGGGTAAGGAATCAAAACCCGTTTGCGACCTCTGATCATCACTGTCAAAAGCAAAGAAGCGCGTCACGTGTCCGCTAAGCCAGGGGTGGGGAACCTTTTCTCTGCCAAGGGCCATTTGGATATTTATGACATCAGTCGCGGGCCATACAAAATGATCTACTTAAAAATTAGCCCGTATATTTGGTCAAACATTTAATGAACTCACCCCTAATGTGATGGCTGGAACTGCTTCTCTTTGGCGAGGCGTGTGATGTGAGCTGGTATTGATGATGTTGCTGCTACTCGCAGCTGATTTTCCAGGTTTACTCCTAGATTTATTGAATTTCGAGTCCCGCCTGCAGTTGCCTTGGCAGGGCCACACCAAATGATTTTGCGGGCCCTATACAGCCCGTGGGCCGGACGTTCCCCACCTCTGCGCTAAGCCGTCTGGATACGGGAGGGGGGGGGTCTCTGGTCGCTCTGACCTGTCGGCGTCCACCAGGGGTTGTTGGTCCTTTGCAGCTTCAGGGGGGCTCCGGCGAACTTGGCGTAAGCCTGGGATGGAAGGGAGAGGGGGTCACGAAGAGGACACGGGGGGGGGGGGGGGGAGGATGGGTGAAATCGACCGCGAGGAGTAGAGCAAGACGACCGCAAAGACCGAGAACGCCTCGGCGGACGAAACTCGTGCGGGACCGGAATTACGAAAATCCAGACCCGCCGCAGTTGGGTCCGAGGCGGTTTGGGGCCGGGTTACATTCCTGTCAACCCCTTGTCAGTGCCCCCTACCTTATTACAGACCAATTCTGACCTTATTGGTCACCCCGTGCCCTTTGTAAATCTTTTCATCCTACAAAGTCACCATCACAAGGGAGAGACACAAACAAATAGACACAATGTTTTTTGTTGCTGACCGTATTGAAACGGCTGTACACCGTATGGACCTAAAAACGCAATTTCCCTGTACAAGAATACGGGGTAAACCGTATGGGTTGACAGCTATGGGGGTGGGGGGGTTAGTGCTGTTTGCGAGCACCTATGAAGGCCGGCACGGCATACGAGGGGGTGAGTGGTCAGCACCACGCTCGACCGCCTTTGTCTCCCCAGTGGCGATGTTAAAACACCGCACCGGGTACTCATTGGAGGCTGAGTCGACCTAGGGGAGGCCCAGGTACCGGTTCAGGTAATCGTTACTGGTGTTGACCGTGAGCGGGAATCGAACTCGGGTCGCCGGGTTCGTAGCGCAGCGTAGCGCTAACCGCTCCACCACCGCTCGAGACAAACACACACAAAGACAAACACACATACATGTACACAGAGACAAACACACACACATGGACACACACAAACATACACACATGTACACACACAACCGCCATTCGCCACTAAGTGGCGGTGACGTCACCACGACACTTGTGCCAGGCTATGTGCACCTTGTGTACCTTGGCCTCAAGGTACACACACAAACACACAGAGACAAACACACACACAGACAAACAAGCACACATGTACACACACACAGAGAGACAAACACATCCCGACACATACACATCTCTATGGCACCGGTCGCCACCCTCTTAACCCTCCCCGGCGGCCCGGGCGGTCGTTCACCCTCGCCTCATCGCCCGCCCGTTCACCCCCTCGCCCACTCGCTCGCCCACTCGCCCCCTCGGCCACTCGTCCCCTCGCTCGCCCGCTCCCTCGGCCACTTGCCCACTCGCCCGCTCGGCCACTCGCCCCCTCGGCCACTCGTCCTCTCGCTCGCCCCCTCGCTCGGCCACTCGCTCGCCTCCTCACCCGCTCCCTCGGCCACTCGCTCGCTCGCCCGCTCGCCCACTCGCCCCCTCGGCCACTCGTCCCCTCGCTCGCCCCCTCGCCCCCTCGGCCACTCGTCCTCTCGCTCGCCCGCTCCCTCGGCCACTCGCCCTCTCGCTCGCCCCCTTGCCCCCTCGGCCACTCGTCCCCTCGCCCCCTCGGCCACTCGTCCTCTCGCTCGCCCCCTCGGCCACTCGTCCCCTCGCTCGCCCCCTCGCCCCCTCGCCCGCTCGGCCACTCGTCCCCTCGCTCGCCCCCTCGCCCCATCGGCCACTCGCTCGCCCCCTCGCCCATCTGCCCGCCCTCCCGCTCACCATGACCGTGAGGCTGCCCGGCTCCACGGACGGCAGCCCCCAGTCACCCCGCCAGCACTGCAACTCCATGGGCGCGGACATGTTGCAAGGCGGTGGGGCCCGCGGTGACCCCTGAACCCGGAGACGGATGTTGGTTGGGGGTCATAGACGTGGTGGGAGAGGGAGGGGGGTGTCTCTACCCAGAATGCACCGGGGAGGGCAGCCCCCCCCCCTCCCACCTCTTACGTAATGACGTCATTGTTGTTAATCTTGGTGATGTAATTCGAGTTGTGTGTTTAGGGGGCCGTCCATAAATGACGTCACGCACCTGGGGGGGTGGGGGGGGGTCAGACATTTGTGACGATGTGTGACGAGGGGGTGGGGGGGTTTGAGAAATGTGACGTCACATCAAAATACGCAACTTTAAATAAATATAGACAACACGTTCTACTTAATTAAATTGACTTTTTAATAAATGTTTTCTCCTACAACATCAGAGTGCAGCGCCACATTAAACACGCACTACAATGACAATAGTTTAAAGCGATTTGAAGCATGTTTTAGTTTTTGGGGGGGAGGGGGGCAGAGCTTTGTGACGTCATATTTGAGGGGGGGGGGTCAAATCGTCAAAAATCGCGTGACGTCATTTATGGACGGCCCCTTAGCCTGTCTGGCAATAGAACACGAGCTGTGTTAAGATGTTGGAACTCCGAAGAATCGATTCCCCGTTAAACCAAACACGGTCCCTGTGGTGGGCATGCGAGCCCACGTGGCTCTGATAATAATTCACGATGTAGCACAATCTTTGTTCCTGGGTAGTAAGTGATATTTCCTAATTGCTTATGCCTCAAAGGTATAAAAAATGGCTATTATTATATTCTCAGGTTTTTTGGTAAAGTCACGTAGGTTAAACATTAAAATTAATAAAAGTAAAATAAAATAAAAATCACGACGTTTCGGAGGCAACACAAGTCTCCGTCATCAGGTGGGACCGTCACAGCCACCTGATGACGGAGACTTGTGTTGCCTCCGAAACGTCGTGATTTTTATTTCATTTTACTTTTATTAATTTTAATGTTTTACCTACGTGACTTTACCGCAAAAAACCTGAGAATATGAATCATTGCAGTCACGAAAGCTTCAAATCTAGAATGGCTATTATTATTCCCCACAAACTTTGCTTTTGTGACCAGGACTTTACGTGAAGGATGACACAAATGCACACCGCGTTTTCTCATTGAAAATAGGTAAATTTCAAAATAACACTACCCAGGAACAAAAAATAATACATTTGTTAAAGTGTTATTCTTGGAGTGGATTATTAATTTTGATTTTGTGTCCTGGTTACAAAAGCAAAGTTTGTGGGGAATAACAGCCATTTTATGTACTTTTGAGGCATAAGCAATTATAAAATAACACTACCCAGGAACATTTTTTTTATATTACAGTGTAATGTCCATTGACTCCTCGACTTACGCGCACCCGACTTACGAACTTTCGTAGATACAAACAAACCTGTCCCGTACGTCCAGTCGCCTGTTTGGACCGAGAGTTGTAAGTTCAACCGCCGCGCAATAGATGGCGTTGGTGGCGTCTACATCTGCAGAACGTGAAGAACCAGTGGCATCTATATCTGCAGAACGTGAAGAACCAGTGGCATCTACATCTGTAGAACGTGAAGAACCAGTGGTATCTACATCTGCAGAACGTGAAGACCCAGTGGCATCTACATCTGTAGAACGTGAAGAACCAGTGGCATCTACATCTGCAGAACGTGAAGAACCAGTGGCATCTACATCTGCAGAACGTGAAGAACCAGTGGCATCTACATCTACAGATTATACAACTTTTAAATCCAGCGTTTAGCGCACATGCCGTACATCATGTTTGGAATCGACAGGAGTAAAGTTCGACTTACGAGCAGACTCCCCCCAATATATATTATAATTACGGCCTTGATAGAGACCCATAGAAACACATTAAAGACGAACCACATTCATAGTGATATTGTGGCCAGGCAACCCAAACTATAGACCATATAGTAAACCTACAGAGACCCATAGAAACACATTAAAGACAAGCCACAGCAATGCCAATGTGGTCATAGCACCCAAACTATAGATCATATACTGTAGTAAGACAAAGATCCCCCGTATAGTCTTAACAGACTGTTGGGGCAAGTGCCGTTAGCGAGCACATATGAAGGCATTATGGCACACGAGGGGGTGGGTGGTCAGCACCACGCCCAGCTGCCTTTGTCTTACCAGTGGCGATGTTTACACACCGTAACAGATACTCATTTGAGGCTTAGTCGACCTAGGGGAGGCCCAGGACCGGTTCGGATAATCGTCACTGATTTTGGCCGTTGGTGGGAATCGAACTCGGGTCGCCAAGTTCGTAGTGCAGCGTAGCGCTACACCACCGCTCTCTGTAGTAAACCCACAGAGACACATACATACACACAGACACATACACACAGAGACAAATACATACACACAGATACATACATACACACAGATACATACATACACACAGAGACACATACACACAGACACATACACACAGAGACACATACACACAGAGACACATACACACAGAGACACACACATACACACAGAGACACACAGACACACAGAGACACAGACACACAGAGACACATACACACAGAGACACACACATACACACAGAGACACACAGACACACAGAGACACATACACACAGAGACACATACACACGAAGACACATACACACAGAGACACACACACAGAGACACACACACACAGACACATACACACAGAGAAACATACATACACACAGACACATACACACACAGACACATACACACAGAGACACATACACACAGAGACACATACACACAGAGACACACACATACACAAAGACACATACACACAGAGACACACACACACATAGACACACACAGAGACACATACACACAGAGAAATATTCATACAGAGACACATACACACAGATACACATACACACATAGACACACACACACAGAGACACACACACACAGATAAACATACATACACACAGACACATACACACACAGACACATACACACAGAGACACATACACACAGAGACACATACACACAGAGACACACACATACACACAGACACATACATACATACATACACAAATACACACAGAGACATACATACACACAGAGACACATACACACAGACACATACACACAGAGACACATACACACAGAGACACATACACACAGAGACATACATACACACAGAGACACACATACACACAGAGACACACATACACACAGACACATACGCACAGAGACACATACACACAGACACATACACACAGAGACACACATACACACAGACACATACATACACACACACATACACACAGAGACATACATACACACAGAGACACATACACACAGAGACACACATATACACACAGACACATACATACACACACACATACACACAGAGACATACATACACACAGAGACACATACACACACACAGAGACACATACACACAGAGACACACACATACACACAAACACATACATACACATACATACAGAGACATACATACACACAGAGACACACATACACACAGAGACACACACACAGACACATACATACACACAGACACATACATACACACAGAGACACGTACACAGAGACACACAGACACATACACACACAGACACATACACACAGAGACACACACATACACACAGAGACCCGTAGAGACACATTCAGGACAAGCCACGGCATTGCGATTGTGGTCACGCCACCCAAACTGCGGAACGCCACAGTCAACCTCACTGCGATCTGTCGCTCCTTCAGTGGAGGAGGAGGAGGGTGGTGGGGGGGGGGGCAGGGACACGACGCGAATTCTACGTCTCCCTGCTGAAGCCCCCTTCTCTGTGGCTATCATCAGAAGTTCAAGTTGAAGTTCATTTATTAGGTATAGCCCTGTGAGCCATTCGGCTCTTGAATCGGGTGCAACCGCAACAAACAAAAAACATGAACAAAAAAATCTTAAAGTGAATATGTGACTGAGTGCAAACAGAAAATCCAAGAAAAGACAGCAAAATATTGCAGAAAAAAACACCGTTACACACCAACGCTGTGTGCAAAAATCCCAGTGGGATGCAAGTCAAACAACAACAACAACCACACGACAACTTATATTATGGCCATCAGTCTAACTCTGTACTACAACAAACAAACATGCATAAACCAATACACTTTTCGAAATCACCAAAATAAAGCCATGAAAGCAATGAAACAGTGATCATAGGAACTGTGACGGAATTTTCACAATAAATGGCATAAGTTGACGGTGGCATTTCACTCCCGAGCAAATTTTTTTGCCTTCATACGCAAGAATAGAATCGAATGTATAATCCGGAGCGGGGTACGGTGGGGGGAGGGTGTGTGAATGAATAATCTAAGTTGTCTTGTAGTTGTTGTTGTTTGACTTGCATCCCACTGGGATTTTTGCACACAGCGTTGGTGTGTAACGGTGTTTTTTTCTGCAATATTTTGCTGTCTTTTCTTGGATTTTCTGTTTGCACTCAGTCACATATTCACTTTAAGATTTTTTTGTTCATGTTTTTTGTTTGTTGCGGTTGCACCCGATTCAAGAGCCGAATGGCTCACAGGGCTATACCTAATCAATGAACTTGAACTTTATCGTCGAAACGCTAAAAGGAAACCGAGTTAATGATTGTGATGTTTTTAGATTATTAGTGTGATCGTGATTGATGTCAAGGGCGTGCACGATTTACGCCGGGGCGCCAGGCAGCGCATTCTTGCGGTCATGGTGGCGTTGGGGTGGGTGGGGGAGGATAGAAATCCGTGGAATTCAAAAGAGAAAAAATCCGTGTCGCTGTCATCACGGTCAGATGAGCAATGAGGCGGCAACGGACGGTTCCTCGTCTTCGATTTACAGCCCTGAGCCAGTGGCTGGAATTCCACGTTCCTATGGCGGGGGCGGTGTATATCCACAGGGCAATCGCTGTATCACTGTATCATGTTCAAGTTCATGTATTAGGTATAGCCCTGTGAGCCATTCGGCTCTTGAATCGGGTGCAACCGCAACAAACAAAAAACATGAACAAAAAAATCTTAAAGTGAATATGTGACTGAGTGCAAACAGAAAATCCAAGAA